TAGTTGGTGAGATAAGGAGATCTCAACCTTCAGGAAAAGATTATTAAGTTGCAAATACCCTGCAATCCTTGTCAGTTTAATTATCTTTTTCCAGGCTGAGATCCCCCTGTAACACCTCCAAGGGGATGAAGGATTCTATCAGATTTAGTATATGCAAAGAATCAATTGGTGATGATATATTAATTGGTTATACATATTACCTGAGGGTGCAGAATCACAAGTGTTTTTACACCATACTAATTATAAGGTGTCTGTACATCAAAAATGAAAATTATAGTGAAAAAAATTACAGTTTATAATTTCACACATACATGTAGTATTTCATATATTAATCATTTGTTTCCTTATTTTTTTGCAGATCATGGCTTTCCATTTATGCAGTGATGTGACGTTTCCATAGTCATCTTACACATATTAGCCCAGCCTAATCAGGAAGACATGGGAGACAACTCTATTTGAAACATTCCAAGAATATCAATATGTAGGGACATTATTGATAATTTACATGTACTAAATAATGTACACTGACTGTTATAATGTGTATATGGTACAGTATTATAGAAGTAGATTTTAGCTCTCACCCTGACACGTTTTCTGGATATCAATAACTCTTGCTGCAACATCGAACTTTCATTATGGCAAAGGATGAAATTGACTCTGAACTACCGTCACAGGAAGTGGCTAAAGGATTCTACGCTCGATATGAGCCAAAGGAACAACTAGGAAGGTAGGTGAACATACTTCAAGGAACTTAGTTGGAACATTTTTAGCTGTGATTGGAACAATCTAATTTTTCCTCACATTCAAAGACTCACCTATCCTGTGCTGGAACACATAACATAGTTTTTTGCTGTTTTGATACTTGTGAATGATTTCAATTATTTTTTTGGAAACTTAGGAAAGACATGTCATGAACTTTTTTCAGCTAACGGCAGTTTATAGTTTTTATAATGGAAGTTGAAACTTATGCTTGAACACGAAACCCATTAGATACCAAAAACATCATCTACACAGAAATAGGAAAGACTTTTCTAGGTGGATAATGTTGTAAAAATATACGAAAATAAAGAAAATGGTTTCTTTTTAAGAATTGATGCCTGAAATTAAAGTTCAGCATGCAAAGTAGGGAAGAAAAAAAAAAGAACAAGAATGCAAATTTTATAGGAACTGATGTTTATTTTGACAGCCATCACATACAGCACGATTGGCTGTGCAGTCACGTGCTGGATTAATATCACCATGGTAGTTAAATAGCTTTTCTTATAATAGGTAGACAAGTTTTAAGACACCCCATAATTACCATACATCATGCGTGAAAAAACCTATTGTTTTGTGGAATGAGAACTGAAAATATATCCAAGTGTTCGCGCACTGTTCCTGTTCGAGTACTGGTCATGTTAATCTGTGTAACAGAGGCCATTATTCAAGGGACAACTTTCTACCAGGCTTTATGATAGATATGATGATTTCAATTTCTCTTTTTTGACTTTGCATTTCTGGATTGCAACATTCCCTTATCACCAATCTGTGATGTTAACATGTTGATGGGTGAAGTTTCCTTCTGCAGTCTGAAGTTTTTTGCTCGTTTTGAGGTTCCATTGTTGTTGTCTTGTTCTAACTTGGGAAGAGACGTCACTCACTTGGATTGACTAAGATTTACAATTCTCATTGTTCTTTTTCAGGAGTCTGTGTAAATATTTCTTTTGTTCATATTTTGTTGAGGATTTGAGTTTGTTCAAATTGTCCATAGTCCATGATTCATGGTCCATGGTCTGTTTGTCAGTAAACAATTCTTGTTATTTCTGAGAAGAATTGGAAGGATATTTCTCAAATTTGATGTACATGTGCAAGTCCCTCTTGAAACCTAGTTGTGGCCTTTAAAATGAGACTGACTGAGAAAACAAAAAGGCCAAAAGGTGGCTATTTTGTATTTTGACAATGAAAGTTTGTTATCACTGTTTCTCATGAAGTACTTGATGGATCTTTCTCACATTTCATAATAAGCTTCTGTTGGTCCTTAGTTGTGCCCTTCAGTATTGACCAGAAAAACAGGCAGCCATTACTTTATGACTATTTCTTGAGGGGTACTGACTGTATAAGTACTGGATGGATCTTCTCAGATTTCACAAATACATGTAGGTTCCCCTGGGTCCCTAATTGTGCCTTTTAGGATTGATCTGAAAAACAAATTGGTTGACAGGGAGCCATCTTGAATTTTGACTGTAAAAGTTTGATAATTATGGCTATTATGATTTTTATTTCTTGATAACTACTAGATCTTTTTCAAATTTTCATGCAAAGGTTCCCCATGGTAATTAAATGGTCTGTTTTAATTTTAGGACTGCATTCAGAGAGAGAAAAAAGAAAGATGACAGGTCGCCTTCTTGGACTTAAGCTAAAATTCATTATTGATATTTCTTTGGCGCTTCTTTATAAATCTTTCTCAGATTTCATAGGTCCATCATGCTCCCCAGTTTTGTCCTTTTGATTTTTGCAATGATCAGCAAAACAAACTGGCAGGCAAGTGATCATCTTGGATTAGACAGTCAAAGTTTATTATTTTCTCAGAGCAGTTTTCAAATTTTCTGAAATGATGAGCAACAGGTAAGATAAAAAGTTAAAAGAGATGAAATAGATATCAAAGTGCAGAAGGGGTAAAGATCCCTTTGACATTTCTGTCTGTTGTTTCCAAAGCCTCTGGTTTGATACCTTGAGTAAATATAAATGGATTTTGATGAAACTTTGTATGCAGTTTTATATCATCAAAATCTCGCAAGGAGATTAACAATGAGACCAATTTAATGTAACTTATAATATTATGGGTTTGCAGTTGAAATTTGTTTGAGATTAATCAGGTGACAGTTTAGACCCATAGGCCTCCTGTATATTGATGTCAAAGCATGTTATCCATGTGGAGTGAGTCAGTAGCTGAAGTATTTATTGGTCAGTTACTGCCAATCATTTACATTTAGCTGAAGGCAGTATACCAGGTCCTTTGAATTTTTATCTGTACATTGTATGGACTGCTTTAAGGCCCAGAGGTTGTAATAGCTAACACTAAACCTGTTATTTAGATGAATAAACTTGTATGTTATGTATGGTTTCCAGAGAGGTCAAAAGGTCATAATAGCAGACTTGTTATGTCATGGATCATCGATGTTTAGCACTCTTATGAGCACCAGGTTTTAACGTCACTTCACTTACACCTTCCTGATACTTACATATATATATCATTGGTGATATTGTCATATTATAGTCTTGTCCCTTAATGTAAAAGTTCAGTATTAAAGATGGTGGCAGGGTTATTATTTCTTAATTACTTGCAGCATACTATTTCAAAATTGATGATTCTGCTAAAATGTAGACAGGGCTTATTTGTGGGCAGGGACATATTTGTTGAATATGGTATACATTTAGTTACCTCTATTACCTGTATTTGACATAAACTTAATAAAAATGCCTTTATGATGATATATCCTTTTCTTATGTGTTGTACATTATGCCCACCTCAAATGTAATATGTATATTGTATTTGATAAGACAGAAGAAATCCATGAAAAATCAGGACAAAACCACAAATCACAGACTGTTATTGATGGAAATCACAGGTGCTTGGAATTAAAGCAGTATTTGTTAGAGATGTCAGTATTCAAATAGATGCTTTCAGTATGGCATTAAATGAACAAGAAAATGACATTAAAAATTACATGTTTATGATTGTTAGATATTAACACATGTAAGGTCACTGGAATTCATCTCTCCTCTGTTGACCTAGTGGTCATCGTTCATTCTGTATAGAATTCTGTCAGCTAAAACATCAAGGTAAAATTATTGTTTTGATCAAGTTACTTGAATTAGCTAATAAGGTAGTTTTTCTTTGTCTTTATCTTAATTGAGTTTGTAGATAGTGCAGATTTCACTGGATATGTTTTATAACATGTAACTGCATCTGGAATACCTCAGGCCTTTCTTCTGTTTCTGCAAGGAAATCCGGAGGTGTTCCGGATGTGTTTTAACTGTATATATTAAATATTCTTATCAAATATATCAGTATATGTCTTTCCTTGACTTAATCATTTGATATTGATTAATAATTTTCAATAAAAGATTACCAGCATAAGATACAAGTTTTGCTGTATGCATCCTAACATGCATTCCTTCATTTTTCTTCTAGATGTCTAAGCTGGCATATGATAATGTGTTGTGCTTGTTCTATATTTAAACCATCAGAAGCACATTGTGAAAACGTGACATGGCTGGGTCAATGTGACATATACATGTCCGTTTCATTATTCATAATGAAGAATGACATCATTATTCATCTGATTTTAATCGGTTTACATATACAGAGAAGGTTCTTCAGATGAATTATAATAATCCTCAAGATTTCACTGGAAACAATTTTGACATGTTTTTAATATATTTATGAATTGTTAATGGCTTAATATAATATTCACTGCTCAAAGTTATGAAATAAAAAAAAATAGTTCCTGACAATAATATATCTTTACTGTTAAAAACATTATAGTACTGTAGAAATGCTCACTAAATATCTATTCACATATACTGCAAGCTGGCATATTACAATGTGCTGTGTATGTTCTATATTTAAACCACCAGAAGCACATGGAAGAAAACGTGACTTGACTGGGTCAGTGGGTCATACAATTTCTTAGTCTACCACTGTTTATATCCCTTTCAGAGTCTCCTACTTAATCATATATTGAAGAAAGACAATATTGTTCAATAGAAATTAAATTTATTTGTTAATAACATATATTGAAGTGAGTGTAATCTGCTAGACACTTAAAACTGGTTATGTAAGCTTATTTAATGACCTGGGCACGATCACATATAGGTGAGAGCTGGCATAATCTGCAGACATCCCAATGTACAGTAGATGATGAGAGGAAAAAACTCTGATAAGTCTGATTGTTCAGTTATAATTTGTCTGGGCTACACTACTTACGTACTTAATAACCAAGAGCACATGGTGGCATTAGAAAAATTTAAGTACATGTACATAGATGTATAATTTTTTAATAAGAGGTTTGTGTCAGCATGTGGATGACTGTGGATCATGATGCCAGATATTATATACAACTTTAACTATATACCTGCAGTGTGACTTTACCTAAGGACAATATACCGTACCGGTGCACTTGTACGCTGATGTAATTGGCACCAAAGTTTGTTGTCCTAGTGGGGGCGTGTTGGTATACAGTCCCAATCAATAACACTGGACGAGCAGTTGTATTATGTGTTCAGTGGTGTAGTGATTGTGTTGGGTTGTTTTGGATTGTGATCTTGTGTTGTGAATCTGGTGATATTTGGATTACATATAATTGTATTGAAACATATGGTAATTTTGAGTGTGAACTACATACGGAACCATTTTCAGGTAGATTTGTGTAAATGGAGACAATCTGGTATCCTGTCTTATCAATAAACTGATGTCAGACATTGGATTTCTCACCATGGACTTAAATCTCAAATCTGTATTGGTGTAAATTTTCAAACGGTTTAAAGACTGTAGACTTGTTAAATTCTATTCCAATTTTAATCATCTTGCGGTATTTAAAGGTTGTGTGCTTTGGTAGTTGCCTTAGTATCTAATAATGGGGAGATACAATGAAAATCCCCTATCCTTCACCTCTGATGGTGACGGAAAAATCCTGTTACTCAAGGGGTCTTTTGGAAACAAAGAGTTTCTAATGAGAAAGGATATCAAGTGTAGCCATTGTGGTTGGGTTCACGATCTAAACAAACGCAGAACAAAAACTGATAAACAAAAATGCAGGCAAACGTGTGACAAGGAAAGACAACTCAGTGTAAAGGACATTAGGAGAAATGTTGAGAATGTGATCCACCGAGATGGGAAAGACCAAAGATGTATGGCCCAGCAAAATGGTGACAACTTTGATCGTAAGGATCAGTCAGTGACTAAATCCAGAAAGGACCAAAAGAAAACTTCATCAACCAAGAATTATGAACAGTCCAGTGAAGAAAGATATGTCAAAGTGTTTGAAACAAATTGTGAGACTTCTAAGTTTGCTTTGGATGATATTTGTGGAGTGTAAGTATGTATGAGATACAGTTACTTCATGATAAACTCTAGCCAAGATACTCACAAAGAAAATTCATTTTCTGAAATGTATACAATTGATATATAAAACATTCACATGTATGTATATAAATTTATATATAACTAACTGGTCATCTATGTGATAACGCCCATTATATAATTGTTTGTTATTTTTAATGTGTGGTGATATGACCTAATAGGGCTGCGATTGGCTCTCGTGGTTTCCTTTGTTATGTCATAGCTTCATGATGTCCTTTGCATTATGATGTCACCACCAACAATTATGAATAGAGTAAGAATGTAGCCAGTTTAGTCTGATCAAGTGCTGTTTTCACAAATATTTGTCGATGTGGTAAACAGAATCCTTCTTCACATGACATTACTGAAATTCTAAGTCTTGTTTCATTACTCTCATATGAATCAAAACTCATATGATATCTTCTATATATAACTTTGAGAGTTATTAATAGATGTTGTAAGATAACAGATATTTAGCAACTCTTTGGCCCTGTTCATAACAACTGTAAAAATTTTGACAAAAAGCAAAAATAAAAAATGGTTCAGCCCATCCCATTTGTTCATGCATTAAAATCTTTTACCTGGAGATTCTTATCTCTTAATTTTCAACTGGCACAAAGTTGAGTTTTCTCAAACAAAAACTTGGTTCCACTAATTTAAAAAAAAGAGTTATTGCCCCTTGTTTAATCCCTTTATAAAGTTTTCCAGATATCACCTCTGTCAGTTTTCATCTCTTCTCTTTGGTATCATTTAGACAATACACCTGACTTTACATTGTATATCACTGAGCGGAATTTCCGTTCGATAGTTTTTAGATGAGTTATAGGCCTTTATTATTTTTCAGCATTTTCTCTTCAATCATTATCTTCTAATTTAACATGTTTCACTTAATTTTAATTCTGTATGTTGTTTCTTAATTTTAGTTGATCAGACAATATTTGTATGTATACTGATACATTAATAAATTTGATTATGACATTAATATTAGACACAAATTGTTCAGACTCCAGGTACCCTTGTTATGAGTTAGAAAAGACTTTGTAAAAGTATAGAGTCCCCTTGAATTTCTACCTAAGAATTTCAGTACGCATAAATTTCTAAACACAATTCATAGAAATATAGAAAACCTTTGATGTCAGGTTAAAAGTTTTCTATGTATCCATAGAAGATAAATTTGAATCCCCCTTCCCCCTCCCATCCCTTCCCTCCAAATCAAAAAACAAAAAATCTTTAGCAGACAATCTTAGAAACGTCAGTGGTTCTGAGTAAGATGCCTTTATGTAATGATGATAAGAGTACAAGTGATATGATGGTACTGGTATATGTTTGACTGAATGTCTCGTATATCTTTACTATTGCGTAGGATGGGTAATTTTACTTGTAAACATGCCAGGTATTTGTGTTTATAAATCAAACACAACAGTAGTAACCCTACGAGACTGCAGCTCTGATGTTTATAAATAACATCGCACTCTCACGTCATATAATACTTTTATGATGTCTGATGTCATGCTTTTTCTTATCCTAACTATAGATATGTATAAACATACAGAGTGTTTTCTGAAAGCTGAAGTGAAGCTGTTACGTAATATTGATAGCAGGTTACTTAAAAGAATAGCGAGGCATGATCACATGATCTGTCAACTTGAACTTGAGACGGGCATTGCTATTTTATTATGTGAAATATGTAGGTCAAGAATTCAGGTGTCATGAGTGCTAAAGACTTGACGTAAACCTGGTTATGTATGTATGTCATAAGGTCTCTAATCTGATTGTTTGATTCCTTGATATCTGTACAATACTAAGTTTTTAAAAGTCTTTGTTATACTGTACATATATGAGTAACTATTTGTAACACCATCAACAGATGGTCCTTTGTTAACTTGGCTGCAATGTTTATGTTTGGGAATGAATGACCTAGATATGGCACATGCTGTAGTTAGGGTGTGAATGTAACCTCTGATCTGATTGGCTGGCAGATATTGGTCAGAAATGGGTGTGTTCCATTCCTAAGTCCTGATTAGCTAAAAATTGTATTCTTGTCTCTAGATGTATATATGTTAGCTTAAAGTCGGTTAACTTTGAAAGGGGAGCTACTCTATAGCTTATATGTATTTGTAATGTTTGTTTTAGTCATGTGGTGCTTAACTCCCTTGTTAAAGACATGAATCATAATTTGAAAAATGTTTAAAAAAAAAAATATTTTGACAACAAAAGACAAAAGTACAATATGGAATCATTAATTAAGATGTTTTGTTTTTGACTATTTTAATATCAAATTTATTGTAACTGGTTTTTATTCTCATGATTTTGTTCAACTTTTACTACAATGATATAATAGGTAAAATTCCTGATCTTATGGAAAACAGATGAAGTGAAACTTTATATATTGAGAATAATGAATCTGACGACACCATTGATGAGCCTGGTGGGTAATAATTGTAAATTTGATTTTAAATCATTTAGAAAATTATCTAAGAGGCTTTTGAGTGGGTGAAGCCTCTGACAGTTCTCAATCCCTAATACATTGGTATACAAGTAATTTATGAACATGCAATTTTGACCTGTGTTGTTGGAGATGTAACATAGCTTTTGTTTTAACTAATGTATATCCTTTGGTAAAAAATATCTCGTGTTGAAGGAAAGTAGATATGATACACATGATTTTGGGAGGTTTTATGATAAATTTCTTCTCTTTCATGACCTGTATAATACCTGTATTCAATACCAGTACTTCACAGACTTCATAGGCTTTGGAAAAGATTGAGGCATTTTTCTATTCCAGCTGTCATCAGTATGTCTTCTATGATTGTGAGGTCGGTTCCTCATTGTGAATGATTTTGATGTGGGTGCCTAATTGTGAAGTATCCTTGTGCTTGTTTTAGGGGTGTGAGCAGTGTGGTGCGTCGCTGTGTGGAGAAGGAAACAGGAAAGGAATATGCTGTTAAAATCATTGACATCAGTACAGAGAAACAGGAAGAGTATCAAGCAGAACAGACAAAGCAAGACACTATAAGGGAGATTAATATACTCAAGATGTGTTCTGGGCACAAACATATCAGTAAGTATTCAGGACACAAACATAACGGTAAATGTTCTGGGCAAAAACATAGCAGTAAGTGTTCAGGGCACAAACATTATCAGTAAGTATTCAGGACACAAACATAACAGTAAATGTTCTGGGCAAAAACATAGCAGTAAGTGTTCAGGGCACAAACATATCAGTAGGTGTTCAGAGCACAAATATATCAGTAAGTATTCTGAGCATAAACAAATCAGTTAGTGTTCTGGGCACAAACACATCAGTAAGTGTTCTGGGCACAATAAAATCAGTATGTGTTCTGGGCTCAAACCTATCAGTTAGTGTTCTGGGCACAAACCTGTCAGTTAGTGTTCTGGGCACAAACACATCAGTAAGTATTCTGGGCACAAACAAATCAGTAAGTGTTCTGGGCTCAAACCTATCAGTTAGTGTTCTGGGCAAAAACATAGCAGTGAGTGTTCTGGGCACAAACCTATTAGTAAGTGTTCTGGGCACAAACCTATCAGTAAGTGTTCTGGGCACAAACCTATCAGTAAGTGTTCTGGGCACAAACCTATCTGTAGGTATTTTGGGCACAGATTAGTAACTGTTCAGAGCATAGATATAACAGTTAGTGTTATATGTGGGCTAATTTGCTTTTTTATAAAACCAAAATGATAGGCAAAACTGTAACACGGGCTTTTTATTTGATACATATTGATGTTAATTTAATTTCAATCTATTTTGATTTTGTAGATATTTACAGGTGAGACAAATATGGTTTAAATATGCTAATTCTGGCAGTAGCTCATGACACATCCTCTGATATCCATCTATGCTCTGCTTCATACAGAAAATCATTTCTGTGTACCATTATAATGATAACACTCCTGTGTAGACATGACAGCAGATTAAATATCTTATTTTATGAATACATTGAATTTTATTTCTTTATTCATTTCAGTTGAACTTCATGACTCATTTGAAACCAACACTTTCATCTTTCTTGTATTTGAATTGTAAGTATAATACTGAATTGAAAACCAATTAATTGAGTCTTGTTTATTTAAACTACTACATGATCATTGTTTCGGCCTGTTCTGTTTGTTGTCTGTTTGGTAAACTGTCAATGCATTTGGACAACTCATTCATGTTTATATTTTAACAGGACTTCAAAAATATGTTTTTGTTTATCAGTTATAAAATATCGCGTAATTATGAAATAATATAGGAGACTATTTTCAATTAATTCCAATTAAGCTTCATTTTGATGTTAAAATGAAGTAAATGTTCAATATTTTTTATGTTAAACATTAGAGGAATTGATTCATACCTATGGAGGGCTGAGCAGATTGACCAGTGAAATTTATTGCCAAATCACTGTCATGTTTAGAATAAATCACAAGGAAGTTGACTAGGCTTTTCATTGGCTGAAGTCTAAAAAAGAGTTATTTTTCACTGGGAAAAATAACAAATTTTTTTTTTTCACCAGTGAAAAATAACACTTTTATCAATGAGACAATTCTCTATATTTCACTGGAAAAAATGTAATAAATCGGGAATATTCAGGTTCAGCATGATAATGGTATATACAATATTCAAGCTTTCAGTAATACACAAGTATCAGAAATCATGAAGACATTGTAATCTCTTGTGAATGTACAACTATATGTAAAGGGCTATGATAAGGGTGTAATTTAGATGCAACATTTTGGTACCAGTGTGACGGGTGATATAGGAAGCATAGAAAGTGTAAAAATATAATAAGGTGTAGTATTACATAATGTCACAGCTTCAAGGAAACAATGAGTATTTGGTATATCTGTTGTTGGCAGGTTTACTCTTCCTCCCAGGCCTGACTAATATATATAACACCTTAACTCCATTCACACTGACCAATGGGCTTATGTATGTTCTATAGGTGGTGTAAAATCACTCAGCATGATGTAATGAGCCTGGAGGTGTTTTAAAACCTATAATTACACCCTATGTGTATATATATATACATATACTCTCACACACTCATCTCCCCTGTCTGACCATATGTCAGCACAGCTATATTTAGAGGAAGGGTTTCCTGGAGGTCAGTCAGATTAAAGGTCTAGTGTTATTGGTATATGTACATGGACATCCACTTTACATGTCTGTGGAAATATAACTACATTGTGTTTGTTTGATTCAAGAAGTCTTTCTGTATGATGAGAATCGTGTATTTCTGTGACGATTCAGTGAGAAAACAGTATAATGTGTGATTTTAAATCATTCCTGTACTAAAAAAATCATCTGGATCTATACCTAGAAATTGTTTATTCATTATCGATGCTGTCATATTACCTGAAAACTTGACAATTATAAAATGGCAGTGTTGAGTGAGTGTAAACTTCGTGAAGGAAAAGTGGCGAAACAGATTAAATCGTTGGAACTTAACAGAGTGGCCAGAATATGGAGAGATTTTATGAAAAAGAAAAGGGAATTTAAACGTGAGAGATCTTCAATTAGCAAAAGGTAGTATTAAATACCCATCATAGGAAAAAATGTTCAAGAAAATACAGTTATTACATTTTTATCTCTATATGGATGGTTACTAAGTACAATTACGGAAATTACAGCATAGTAAACAATGGGAGAAAAGAATATAATTTTTTATGTATGTTTATTTACTTTTTTTAGTATGATTTTGTTTTTTGTTACAGATGTAAACAGGGAGAATTATTTGACTACCTCACACAAGTTGTAACTTTATCAGAGAAGAGGACACGGTAGGTTAATAGGGAGAATGTTTCTAGTTCAACAGAAACCTAATCAAGAATGTTGTACCTATTAGTGACTTTTAATTTTATGTCTGAATTTTATAACTGTCATTGCCTACATAAGATTTGGAAACTTAGTAAAAGTTTTTAAAAAAATGGGATAATATTCCTGATTTTTTTTCTCATTTTGGTTTTACATGTACAAATTTTGGCTTTAAGCAAAAAATATCACTGTATTTATTTTCTTTGTGATTCATTGCTGCCAGACTGAAAATGCTGGTAAAGGACCTCTGTAATTATCAGGAATATAACACATCCCTTCAACCTGTTATTGTATATTAAGTAGGATCTCTGTTTAGAGATGTATGTGTAATAATTTCTTAATGGTGAGGAAGTCGGGTTTACTGGCTGCATGCATTTTGTATTCATGTTTTATTGTGGTTTTCAGAATTGTGATGAGACAGTTATTAGAAGCAGTAGAGTTTGTACACAAGAAAAATATAGTGCATCGAGATTTAAAGGTAAATTACTAACAAAGTTTACCGTACTTTGTGTTAAGTTGATGTAGTAAAAGATAGACGCATGTTCATGTTAATTGTCCACTTTTATCAAAACCGATTCATTGTATTATATATCTACAGATATATATACAGTTAATTACTGATAAAGAGACACAACTTCTATACACGTTTGCATTAATAGTTAAACACACAAATTCTGTTTGCATTAATAATGAAACATGGACAACAAGCAATTTTTTAAGGAAGAATATTTTTATACTCAACAACAAGATATTCCCCTCAAGATCTGTTGATTCATCAGTCATTCAGTCAGCATGTGTTTCAAAGTGATATGGTTGTTACATAACGACATGGTAGAAGGACTTAAATCATCTTAAACGACAGAACACACATGTACAATGTATATCCCAAGCTGTGTCATAGGAGGAAATTCTCTCCTGTGGTCTTTGTCAGTGTATAATACTGGTTCACAAGCCTTGTGAATTTTTAGCTGATATGATATAACTTCTCAGGAAGCGCAAAGAACAGTGACATCTGTGATATTAGATTATTCATTAATCACGACAGCAGGACATGATCAAAATGTAAATTGAAGTTTGACTGTTGAGTTGGTTTGTCTGTGGGAAGGTAGGATGAGTCATAGCTGTTCACAAGTTTGTGATACGCTGTGGTTGTAATTTGGCGTCAGACAGGACCAGGTGTTTCTTTGTTCCAGTATTCAGTGATAGTGGCCACACACTTCAATAAAAATCCAAGAACAAATTTAGGAAAACCGGTATATTTGAAGTTGAGTCACACAAAATTAAATAATTTTTCTAACTTAATGTTGTCCCTGTGATACTGAATATGAAATGTTGTTGGCTAATGATTACTGTGAAACAAGACTAAACATTTCATTCTGATGAAAAATATCAACAATCTAGATGTGTGATATTAGAATGCTTAATTTTCATATCAGGTTTTGTTTTTGTCAAAGGCAGATTGTCAATAACAGGGAAAATAATGGACTTTCTGGTTAATAATGGACTCTTAGGTATCCATTATGAAATATAACGTACCAATACAACAATACAGACGTTGACTTCACATCCGAGTTTTAAACGTTAAAAAAAAAAAAAAAATGTTCTGGCCCAGGTTGCTGAAAAGTTAGTTATGTGTTAACCAGTGGTTAATGAAACATTGAAATTACTGCCACTGAACATATAAAGAATGTTTAAAATAGCAGTCTGACCTGTCTCATTAAACCTATAACTGTGACATAAAAAAGAATGTTTCTGATTTTCTTTAGTTCATTTTTCACTAACTACTAGTTATCTCTAACCAGTCTTTGATCAACCAGGGCCAAGAGGCAAATTGACTCATTAAATCAATTGTTTTGCTTCTTTTAGCACTACCAAAATCAAATTCAAAACACAATCATTTTACATCAGTATATGTTGGATCGTGGATATTTTTCCAAGAATGTTCTAAATTCTAAAGAAAGGAGGGATTTCTTTGAAAAGATATGTAAAGTTGTTCATTTTTATATTTATTTCAGCCTGAAAATATATTACTAGACGATGATCTCAACTTAAAGTTGTCGGACTTTGGCTTTGCTACAGTTTTGAGTCCCAATGAAGAATTAAGTGGTAAGTGATCAAAGGGAAGTAACTCATTATCAAACAGACCATTGATAAATATAAAATGATACTATTTATTTTTAGTTATTTTGTATGGAAAAATGAGTTATCTGCATGCCAGGTTATGATTTATTCAAATAAGATATACACTTGACATTCTTTGGAAATTCTTTGAAATGTGGAGATTATTGCTCGACCCAATCTAGCTTTTGTGATTTTTGATTTATCTCAGTTGCCTCCAAGATTTTAGAATGTAGGCCTGTAACATCACTGACGAGTCTCAGAAGGATGAAACAGCTCTTTGATACAGTTTTATTCTTTAGTGGGCACTACTGTTTCTAATTCTAAATTTGTATTGAAAGGTCTTATTCACAATCATTGATTTGTGTTCAATCATGAACTGTAATTGTTTCTATACATATGGGGAAAAATGCAACCATGACAGTTAGGTGCTGTGTATATAAGTCTATTCAAATTGTATAGTCCAAAGACGAGGTACAATTTTGTAAACTTTTTATTAGAGAGATGGATTCAGTCAAACAGATTTGTAAATATCAATGCAGGACTTTGACATCTGTGACTTGACCATAGTCAGAGGAAAGAACCAGACCACAATGAATTCATGTGTTTTTTGTTTCTCAATGTGATGAACAAAAGTCTTTCTTTATGTGTTTGTATTTTGTGTAGTGGTAATTATGTTGTTTTACCAGTATTTATTTTGGTAATTTTCAACTTCACAGAGCTTTGTGGAACACCAGGGTATTTAGCACCTGAGGTATTGTCAGTGTCTATGTATGACGATGTACCAGGGTACGGTCAGCCGGTTGACATGTGGGCCATAGGTGTTATTATGTACACACTTCTGTGTGGCGCACCGCCCTTCTGGCACCGTAAACAGATGCAGATGCTGCGAATGATTATGCAGGCTAACTACCAGTTTGGAAGTCCAGAGTGGGATGATGTCAGCCAGGCCCCTAAAGATCTGGTGAGTCAAATCCCCACAGAATACATGATTGTGTTATGTTTTCTTTAATATTTCAACTTTTTAAGAGACTTCTGATGGTTACGCTCCTATACATAATTATATTGAAAGATGTCCCATTAAATGTCAGCTGTAAAGTTTGCTGTTATGGATGGAACAAAACACAAATGTAATATCAAGAAAATAAAAAAACAAAAATTGTTCGTTTCAGATTTTCTCAAAAAATACACCCTTTTTGCTAAGAATTTTGAGAAAAAAGGCGAAAATTTAACAATTTAATAAATACAACCTTTACAAGATTTTCATGGATAAGGAAATGATGATTTTCCAGATTTTGAAGCATGAGTGAAAACACCAGTCTGTTTTGTTATATAAGGATATTCAATGGGAATTTAGGTTATTTTCAGTCAATTATGTTTTTTCAAAAGTTAACAAAAATGGTGAAAGAAGTTTTTGTATCCAATAGTGCTGCATCTTGTTGTATCATAGTTGTCTGATTGTTATGATATGATGCCTCACAACACGACTTTATGAAAGATATATTTAAACCATCAGTATATATAGCAAATGTACATTAAGACATTGGCAACCATCAGAGAGAGCAGTGTGCTTTAAAGAGAAGATAACCTGTTGAAAATACTGCATACCTATTTTTTTTTCTTTTCAAGATCGCATCATTGCTGGTTATAGACCCAGTCAAGCGACTAACTGCTTCTGAAGCTTTGCAGCATCCATTCTTCAAAAGAGAGGTAAGCACACACAGTTTTGACAGAGAAACCATCCCAAAAATGGAAGGATCTGATATAGTTTAAAAGGATATATTTTCAGGGGCCTTAATTAACAGTGTTTCTCAAAAAATTGCTATTTCATGGACACTGGATTTGAAATTTTGTGAAAGAATACTGCTCAGTAACCTGATTTCAACTGTTTGAAGACATATCAATATGTGTATTATGAATACCCACGATATCAGTGAAAATAATCCCCCACAAGAATTAATGATTTTGCAGTATAACAGTGAACCGGTGTGTAGGTGATATCCTATTATTTCTGTATGTTTAAATACAATTATTATAAATAATTAATTAATAGATAATGACATTGTCTTTGTACTTTACTTTATATAGTAGGTTATTTCTATCTGAAATGTATATAAACCAATGATAGGAGATCAATGAACATTTTATGTAGAAATATGATTTTTTGGTGAATGGTACATGTATTAACAATTTTATTTCAAAATCTTGCATATTAATTGAAAAATAGAAAAAACTTAAAGTGCAGTTTTTAATGCAATATGCACAATGTAATTGTATTGATGTTTTTTTTTTTTTTGTAGCAGGTGAAACCTGTTGTAAAATTCCAAGCAAAGAAAAAGTTCAAGGTAAGTGGATGTGATATGTTACACTACATAAAATTATAACGCTACCCAGTTTTGAGTAGCGTTATAGCATGTATCAGCTGTCTTTCCCAAACCAACGTGAGATAAAGTTATCCTTAGCAATAACAGGATAACCGTCAGAAATCTATGAGAAGTTTATGTCTTAAGTTTCGGAAATGGCACATTTTTTCACGATTTTCTTTCTGCACTTCCTCACAAATTGTTTGACAAATCAGGTAATGAAACAAGTAGATTCAGTTGTCAGGTTTTTGAATGAGGGATGTTCACCAATTGGGATCTGTTAATTTCTAGATCTCAGTAAGAAGTATATTTATTTGTTTGCTTCACGTCTTCCATACACAATAATTAATTTTTAAATGTTTACAATTTTATTTTCAGGCTGCAGTCATCTGTATCAACTTCTTCTTTCGTTTGAGGTTTTTCAAGAACAACCCTCCGCCTATATCTGGTGAAGTGATGAATAAAAATCCATATAGTGTTAAAAACTTTCGCAAACTCATCGATGGGTGTGCATTTAAAATGTACGGACACTGGGTAAAGAAAGTGGACAATCAAAACAGAGCTGCTCTGTTTGAACATGCCCCACGCAATGACTGGAAAGAACAACACCAAGATTCATGATCACTTTTGACAGGAGGACTGCAAATTACTACTGCTTCTTAGTTGGCCATATGCCTGATGTGATCAGACAATTAGAAAAAAAACAGTGCTCTCTTATTGGATAAATGTTTGAGGAGAATGGCACTTTGTGCTACACAGATTTAATGCAAGTTCACAGGTGTGTTGCTTTTAAAGAAATGAAAAAGAAGAATTCTACCTTGCCAGATTAGATATATGAATAGTAAAAGTAGACTCCTCTGAATGGAAGTGACTATTTCCCAGCTTTTTCTACACACCAAACCAAATGTGATATTTTTCTATGTTTTCCTCCATTTTGATGTTCAGGAATTTACCAGTCCCATTAAATATGGTACACGTCTATTCTTGCATGTTTTACACATAGACTATTTTTAAATTGTGTTTATTTTATCAGGTTTCAATTGTGTTGCTTAAATTCAGTGATGTTGAATCCCTAGAAATGTGATGTGCTCGTTTATCTAATATTTAAATGATTTATTTATGGGTTACCTCGTTTTTTGTTCTTTCATTTTAACTCATGCTTGTTATGTTTAAACTCCCTGTAGTATCCAAGTACCAGTATACATTACTGTTATTATGGAGAAAGATTTTTGCTTTTGCTTCTGTAACCATGGTAACCTGTCAAAGGTCAAGTGCTGACCTGTTGGAGATAAGATATCTCGGGTCATTTTTATCCTAATTGTTTGCATGGTAATTCATCACTGATTAGAGTTTCACTGTATGTTGATGCCTTGGCCATTGACAAAGTCCCTTTTGTTTCAAGCTGATTTGAAAGTCAGTTGTCGTTGTACACATCTGGTATGTAATTTAGTACCAATATCTGTTGCTTAAGAAAATCTCAGTGGATTTCCGAGAAATTAGATTCTTTGATGACTTTGTGATATTAAGTCTTCCTACTCCGTAGATAATACCCGGTGAAGTAAGTACCAATATTTATTAATCAGGGTCAACAACTCATTCCGCAGTATTCAATGCAGCCTATTGTTCATGCAGTTTTATCATCCCATGTGTATCTATTTAGTACTCTCAGAGATTACTGTTTGTCTCAGAATTTCACTCTCCCGCAAAGAAATATAATTCCATTACAGATATACAGAATTTGATCAGGGAACATGAATTTTTTCCCCAAAACTCCACAACTACACAAAAAAATTTTTGTTTATTGCATATGATCTGATACAATCATGTTTATGTTAAAACAGTGGACTTCAAATTCAAATTAATCAAGGAATGTTGGAGAGATTTTATAATTTGAATTCAATGGAATTTATGAAGTTATGGTTTTGAAATGATTTCTAAGAAAATACAATTGAAATGATGGTTTAGTATAGGAAGACATTTATTTAGATTTCATTTCTTCTTTGGACGAGATAAAATAGAAATCTTCTGTATAGAAATGACAGACTTGTTAGCTAGTAGATTGTGATGAGGGGTTAGCACAGAGTTTGATATGTTACAAGTTGTGAAGGATATATGCATTAGATGTTGTTACTGCTAGCTTTTGTGTGTGTGTGAGAGTTGTTCATATGCTATGTCCTCCCCAAAAAACCAAGAGATTTCTACAAGCTTCTGTTGACAAAATTAAAACTTTAAAAACTAATTATAGCTTTGTTGTATTTTTTGTTTAACGATGTCTTTGGAACTTGACGAGGATACAAGCACTGGCTTAACCTGTGTTCTACTAATTGCAAGCAATATTGTATGAAAACAATGAAATTCAGAACCAAGATCTTGCTACCCCTTGGGAATGCAACTACGTACGCTTGATGATAATTACCCTGAATCTTGGGAGTTAGTAGCTAAAATACAGAAAAATAGATAACTGACAAGTTGTGTATCCAGTTGTTATAAATGTATAATGTACTGTAATACATTTGTATAAGTATCTCGTTATGGAAGAAAGCATAAGAGTAGAATCCCCGGACTTTGAGCAAGAAGAACTTGACCCCCTGGGCTTATTCCCGGATAACTGTATTATCCAGATTTGGTGGAAATAAAGGTTTTGTTATTAAATGAAAAATATTTACTGAAGGATAAGAATTTGGGAAATGCCAATCCTGTTGTATTATCTCGCACGGATGCTGATACTGATCGATTTCAGTCATCTGTAAGAATTGTGTCCCTCTTCACATATGCCTTTGCAAATACACATTACATGTAATGAGAATGGAAAAACTTGTAGCCACATCATTGGGTAGGCCGTTCAGAATGGAGGAATACAGATCAGATACATTATACACAGATTGTATTAATCTCAATTTCTGTAGCCAGAGTATGATAATTTCCAATTACACTGTAGACTGATTGTAATAATCTTTCATTACTGTACACAATGTAATTAAAACATTATCATTATAGACAATTGATACCACGTGGCACAACTAAACACATACTGATTCATATGACAATTTATTTGGGGATTTGACAATGATATATATACATGAATGCGATGACATTTATACATGAATGCGATGACATTTATACATGAATGCGATGACATTTATACATGAATGCGATGACATTTATACATGATTGCTATTTTATACATTATCTATCACAGTTATTTTTAGCACTTTTTCATGTCACATACTAAAGAAGGGAATATATAATCATTTACCATTGTAACAGTCTCTGACATAAGAAACTCTCTCCGTGCAATGTACATTTATAATACACATATGTACAATTACTAACAGTTTTCAAAACTGAACCAGAATACATAAGGTAAGTTAATATTAATGCAGCTAAGATGCATTGTCTGTTGATTTGTAACATCATACAGTCACATCTTCAAAATGTTCATTTTGGCTTTTGAAACCACAGTATCAGTCTCACTTATGTGGTTCTATTGAGTTTGATGATTTGATCCAATAACATTACAAAAAAAAATAATAAAAAAGATAGCGAACAGCATTGAATTAGTGATAGTTTTGAAATTAAAAACTAAAAACAATATTTGCAAAAACAAAGCTTCTGGTTAAAAGAAATATTTTTATTAATTTTTTGTTCAACCAAAAAAAGTGAATCTTTATACCAAGTTATACCAAATATCTCTTTTGATATGATATAAAAGTAAACATATTAACATATTACAAAATAAGATTATTTCTACTTTATGTCATATCTTGGCCTTACCCTTATCTAGGCCTTACTTTATCTAAGGCTTTACCTTATTGATGAAGGCCTTTCCTTATCTAAGAAGACCTTAGGAAGGTCTTAGGAAGGCCTTACCTTATCTAGGCCTTATAATCATGATCCATAAGCACCAAATTTCATACATGTAGCCAGCAAAAATATAAACACTACATAGACTTAAACTGAAATTTTGGCAGGACAAACTATGTACTTGGCAATGCAGGTTAATGACATACAGTGATTTCATTGTACTGTAACATGACAGGATCTTTGTAACAGCTTTAAGCAAAGGCTGTTGCAAGATTCAATTAAAGTATTACAAGGTTACGGTGTCTTTAACACTATATTGTGATGCTTAAGTATCATTAGCTGAAAAATTGATAGAAAAATATTAATTTGAACCAGGTACATTTATTTTAAAGAGGATTTTGTAAAATTATTAAATGAAGTTTATTTTTCCTAATTTGTATATGTATTAATCTGAATACACCTAGACTGGTCGTATAAATTGGTATACTACATTAAGAGTATTAGCAATTTACAAAAGAGTGCTATGAAACCTTCTGACTCCCAGTAATTAACAAAAAAAAAAAAAACAATCACAGCCTATTTATAACATCTTATACTACACATCAGAGCTATGTGAGACTGCCTATGGAGACATCTTGACACAGTAATAGGTCACCCTTCTCATCAGCCAGGGCGTTATGATGTACATCAGAGCTCTGTGAGACTGCCTATGGAGACATCTTGACATAGTAATAGGTCACCTTTCTCATCAGCCAGTGCCTTTATAACGTCCAGTAACAAGTCTTTACTGAGTCTGCGGATCTCAGGTAGACGAGCCACCTACAAGGTAATGTTAGATATAATAGTAATGTGTATGACAATAACACACAAGTATGAAGTCAAATCAGGTCAGCTGTTCAACTAAACTTATAAAACAAAATGTTGAACTTCTGACACAAAACAAAACTGCAGACAAAAATATTTTTCTAATCCTAAATGAATGATATATTACATAAAGATGAAGGACATCAGAATAAGCTTAATGGTCATTAGTAAGAAAACAACACTTTTATAGAAATTTTGTTTCCTTTAGATATTAATGGTCTTAATAAGAGAGTTAACTATGGTGAAGTGGTGGTGTATATTTGTATATATGTTACTATGGTGAAATGGTAGTGTATATTTGTATACATGTTACTATGGTGAAGTGGTGGTGTATATTTGTGTACATGTTACTATGGTGAAGTGGTGGTGTATATTTGTATACATGTTACTATGGTTAAGTGGTGGTGTATATTTGTATATATGTTACTATGGTGAAATGGTGGTGTATATTTGTATACATGTTACTATGGTGAAGTGGTGGTGTATATTTGTATATATGTTATATTTGTATATATGTTACTATGGTGAAATGGTTATGTATATTTGTATACATGTTACTATGGTGAAGTGGTAGTGTGTATTTGTATACATGCTACTATGGTGAAATGGTTATGTATATTTGTATACATGTTACTATGGTGAAGTGGTGGTGTGTATTTGTATACATGTTACTATGGTGAAGTGGTGGTATGTATTTGTATACACGTTACTATGGTGAAGTGGTGGTATGTATTTGTATACATGTTACTATGGTGAAATGGTAGTGTATATTTATATACATGTTACTATGGTGACACTGCAGTGTATATTTTTATAATTTCATTTTTACCTTGGTGAAGTGATGTACTATCAGATTCAAGGCATGCTTCTTCATATCTAGTGCCTGTATCTTGTCAGCAGCCTCAAGAATCTGTAATGTTTAATTCAAACAAATATTAAAAGGTTGGCCAACATATATGCCAATATTAAACAGCTGATCACATATCAGAGATATATAACCGTTAGTTATCGGTATGGGAATAGAGCCAGTACTGTCCGTTTATGTATGAGTGAATAAGAGGGATCAGATCCCTTTATCAGATTCAGCTTTGTAAAGACTGATGAAACTTCAGCTCCTACAAGGTCGTTTTATGTCAGAATTTTGTATGAGTAAAGCATAAAAATATGGAATCATCCTGACAACATACCTGTACCACATTTTGAACTGTCACATTTTTCTCCAGATTATGTTTGCAGAAAGCCTGTAAAATGGAAATAAAAACATTATCATTAAAAAATGATATGAGTTCTTGAAACGTATTTGTTTGTTAGCTGGGTTTGATTACCACATTAACATCCCTTGTGGTATACCATTTTGCGGTAGTTGGTGGTTACCTCGCTGGGGTAAGTGTCTTGCCCAATGGTATAACCAATATAGAACAGACTAGGCTGTCTCTCAGCTTCCTGAGAAACACAAACCGCCACTGTCCAAGTACATATCATACACCACAAGTATATCTTTTAGCTTTGAATCTAATATCAGAACATTTTTTTGTCATTTTAAAAACAAATTTGAGAACAGTTAAACTATCTTAGATCAAGAAATTCAACAATTTGCTCAAAATCCTCTTTCTCTACAAGGTAATGTCTCTAATTACACATTTGTCTGTACTCCCACACCTTCTCAAAAGAAAATTATAACGGGTAAGAATATAACCAAGGACAACAACTTTCTCACAAAATACCAGCTAATACTTCAATAGTAACGTCAAAGGTTGATCACTGATGTGTCAGTAAGATATTTGAGACATGTCTTTTGAATGCATCTTACCTGTAGACGATTATTTGAGAAGCCATAAAAGTAGGGAGCCGGGAACAGGTAGAGGGAATCTTCTGGAGGCATGATCACATCCCCGTAATAAATATACCTCAGTAAGCTGTTGAAAGCTTGTCGGGATGGTACCATCTCCCCAATCGCAATCTAGATGTGATGAAATTTGTTAGACTTGTCAACGGCTGAGTATTAATAAATCAATACAACACAAAGTAGTTTCAATCTATAATTCTGGAATCTTCCAGCTTTTCTATACCAGTAAAGATAGATAGGACCTAAAAATTATTTTCTTACAAAACTTCAAATTATTTTACTTTCAAAGAGTTTACTACATATTACAAAATAATTCTAACATGGAATGGGGTCCATAATCAGCACAACACAGCCACTCCTTGAAATAGTCCAAGTTATTTACTGCTAAAGGGGGCACTGTGTGAAATGACAGTCCCACATCATGTACAAATACAGAACAATTATTATGACTGGGAATATAGTTCTTGCTTTATAAGTGAGTCTATTGAAACAGAAAAACAATTCCAATATTTATCAGATAAATCTACAAGGGAAGTGACTCACATTCCATTACCAACATAAAAACAAGGCGTAATATTATTTTGTATATATACAAAGGTATTTCACAATACTATTCCAGCACATGTGTTTTGTTGTTTTACAGAAAAAAGCAACACAAGAGGCCACTATAACATAACTAGTGATGCTACTGTATTTCTAAACTCTGATACTGAAAACTGATTGGATGATTTTCTCATATAACATGGCAGCATCTGACATTTTGTGCAGTGGGACATAAATCAGGGCAGATCTTTCATCTTTACTTACTGTGATGGTATCATCATTAGGCTTCCACCTAAACAGAGACTCAAAATAGCTACACCTCGCCGCCAGGATGGCTCTGTGAGCTCTGATGGGTGTACCGTCCAGCTGAAGGGTGATGTCACAGAATTCCTCCCCGCTCCCCTTCAGAAACATCTCCAAGTCCTTCTCTAGGGACTGATCTGTAACATAACTTAATCATTATCACATCACAGGAAAGATCAGCACCAGATGTGATTACAGACCAAAGGAACTACATATTTCTGAAACTGTTGCCATGGTATCTGTTCTTGCATCAAAACCATAACTTCAAAAATTTATAATCAAGAAAAATGTTTATCCACAACTCCAAATAAACAAACATTACTAATGACGTGTGTTTAATGAAACAAAAATTTGCCAGTACACTTTTGAATAATACTTATATTTGAGAAACCAAAAATTTGATCATATCCATGACAATATGTACACAATTATAGTCTTTAATGTGGAAACATGATTTTATCAACCCAAAACAAAACACATTTTTGATGCTATATTAAAATGCACTTATTTGAGAAAAAAAACTGCTGATTCTAAGAAAATATAAAATAGTTACATTAATTCTATATATGATAAACCTGTAATCTATTAAGTAATATACCTTTTAATTTTGTGAAACATTTTCTTTCCGTTTGTAGTAATATATAGAACAGAACTTCTTATATTGCAACAATTTCTAATGAGGTGACAGTGTGGTGATGGAAATGCTATACATACTTTTCTTTTTGGGTGTAATGTTTTGTAGAATGTAATTTATGACCATTCCAACATCTCTGAAAATTTGAAGACATTTTACTCACCATACACATGCTCTGGTTGGGAGTCGGGCATCATGCGGACATAGGTTGGCTGGGAGAGTTTTCGTCGGATGATCTCCACCATTAGGGGTTTGTCGATGTCCTCAAACTCCTTACTCATCACAATAAGGTTACAGTTACTCTCCTTTACAATAAATCTCAGGCAGTATTCCTGAAAAATAATCCATCATATGTTACCTGATCTGTAAACCTCTGTGACAAAACACTCTTTTTACAATTCTGTATAAAAGGAACAGAAGTACCCACTGAATACCCATGTTTTACTGTTTATTACCTGAAAAGCTCATTAAAATGCAGATTTAATTATAAATATATATACATAAATGTTTCTATTCAATTATATATAACTTTTTATCTCAATTCTTGTATATTTTACCTTGAGAAAATCCAAACTCAGCTTGGCAGCATTCTGTAGTGCTACAAGCACATTCTTGTGTCCGATACTGGCCTCTAAGTACTGAACACATAGCTCCTCTAAACGCCTCATCTTGAACTGTCAAATTATAACATAGTATTTTTTATAGTATACGCTAATGTAACAAGTGATAATAACAGTGTAACTATGTATTAAATATTATCTCTTTTGTCCTGTAGTTGGCAACCCTCGGACTTTTCCATACATGTATGTGTTTGATCCCTAGGAAGTATACATAGGTAAACCAGTTTGACTTTCTCTCATTTTGCCCATTACTGAATGCTGTAAGGTAAAAATAAAAGATGGGCTACAGATGGGAGTTTAAGCTAAAATGTTCGCTTTTAATTTTCTTCAAAGCAACTTCATGACTGGACAAACATGAACAAATTTATGCGATGATGAAAAATAAAAATGACCAGGGTGAATATTTCTGTTTTTCAATCTTGATCTCATTTCGTGTGCTGTATATAAGTAAGGTGATGAATCAATGCATGTCTACATACAATATCTCTCCTTTTCAACCAATTCAGATGAAGGTGTTATATACAGATGTGAACTGATAATTACAATGTAGAGGAGAATCCTGCCTTCCTACATGATAAACTCTACCAAATCCAGGATATTAATGCTGATGTACACATCTTCATATAGTTTTTTATATTTTTGATAAGAGAATTCTATATCTGTTTTCATGTGCTGTAATGAAGTTTCACAATATGGTAATGGTAGTTGTGGATTACTGTGTTGTTACCTCAAATTACCAATTACATACAGTATAGACACTTTCTATTTCAGGGATGATATTATTCACCACTTCACATAACATTAATGTAATCATGAAAATTTAATATACAAAATAATCAGACACATGTTTAATTAATTAAAGTGTTATCTTTCTTTTTTAAACAAAATTGTGATAACATTGATGTGTAAAAATTATCAGTTATACCCTATATGTATGGTTGTTAACTTCTATATCAGTTAGTATCAGCAGTAATTAATTGACTGAAAATTTTCACAGTGAACTGAACAAATAACCAACCTGTAGAGAGAGTCTATACACGTCCATCATCAGGAGTATCACCTCGTTACTGCTGTGTTCCTGTCCTACAAATAAAAACATTCAACTTTTCACATGTTTCTTCTGTCTAACATCAACAGAACACAGATATACAGGGTCTGGTATCACACAGATGATTAGGCACAGTTCTTATGACACCTTCTATAATTATGTGACAATCTCATCTCTTTTTGTTAAACTTTTCCCCACTGCATACTCACAGAAAGTGAACAAACTAAATTGTTTGTAGAATATGCTATACATATAAAAATACATGAATTAAAATTGAATCCAGTCATACTCAATTAGGGGCTGTTTTATTTAGTCAATATCAAATTCTATTTAGGTTTCAACCAATTGGAGGCTGTTTTATTTAGTCAATATCAAATTCTATTTAGATTTCAACCAATTGGAGGCTGTTTTATTTAGTCAATATCAAATTATATTTAGATTTCAACCAATTGGAGGCTGTTTTATTTAGTCAATATCAAAATATATTTAGATTTCAACCAATTGGAGGCTGTTTTTTCAGTCAATATCAAATTCTATTTAGATTTCAACCAATTGGAGGCTGTTTTATTTAGTCAATATCAAATTCTATTTAGATTTCAACCAATTGGAGGCTGTTTTATTTAGTCAATATCAAATTCTATTTAGATTTCAACCCATCAGAGGCAGCAGATGCTGCCTTAAATGTGAAAAAATGAAGGAAAACATTCTTAGTATTTAGACCTATGTACTTACTGTCTCCTGTAGGCATGATCTTGTCTGTATAGATATAGGACAACACCATGGCGAAGGCTGTAGGATCAGCATCAAGCAGCTTCACCTGTATAGAGGCCTGCTTCTCTGTTGGTTCATCTTCTAATAAATTCTGGAAAAAATTAGAATCATGTTCTATTACAATGCTGGTGTAATCAATATAATCTATTACAATATCAGTGTAATAAATATAATCTATTACGATGCTGGTGAAATAAAAATAATCTATCACAATACAGGTATAATAAATATAATCTATTACGATGCTGGTGTAATAAATATAATCTATTACAATGACATTGCATGTTTTGAATCTCCATTACTATACTTGTAAAATCAATTACAGCAATATGCAAAATAAATTACTACTTATAACAATATCAGTAGGATAATTCCTAATAATCTGTATTATTGGGTATTACCAGTGTCATAAATCCCTATCTATTACAAAGTTTGATAAATCTCTGTTTACTTGTACAGTGTATTAGCATTGCATTGAGATAAATCTCCATGTATTACAATCATAGTTGATAAACCTGTATTTAATGGAATAACTACTGGTGAGATAAATCCCTATCTATTACAAACAATGTTTGATAAGTCTCTACTTTCTGGTATCACTAGTGAAATAAATCCTATCTATTACAAACAATGTTCGATAAATCTCTACTTTCTGGTATTACTAGTGAAATGAATCCCTATCTATAACATACAATATTTGATAAACATACCTGTTGCCTGGCAACTCGAATTTTGCCTTGTAACCATAGTGACCGAGCAGCCACCAGTGTGATGTGAGCTGGAATGATTTCCTCCTCCTGAAAACAGACAGTAAACTATCAGTTATCAACAAGATTATCGCACAATGTCAGCTTATATAACCATGTTTTCTCAAATAACTTAATAACAAAGAGAGATATTTCTGGGTCTGTATTCATGAAACCGTTGTCATGCTCAAGCATGAATTTTGTGCTCAGGCCTTATGTCTTGTTTAAGTTGAAAATCAATAAATAAGACTGATTTTGCCGAAGTTTTATAAACAATTTTGAAAGGACTTCAAGTCAAAGTTATATTCAAGGTGTAGATTTGACATTTGTATTATTTTATGTGATTTAGGTGAATTATAAAAAGGTTTGCTTGAGCACAAAATCTATGCTTGAGCATGAGAATGGTTTTGTGAATACGGGCCCTGTTTTTTTTGTCATTCAACTTCTTCAGTGACCACAGCCAATTTCAATTTTTCTAACACTAACGCAGATACATATTTTGGGCTTGATCATCCAAACTATTTCTGGATATTTTCAAATTCAGAAAAGTAAAATTTCTTTAAACTAAAAATGTATTTCATTAATTTTAAAGTGTCCATCAACAAAGTAAGGTCATCTATAGGCTAAAAATGGAGGCCTACTGACACATTTCTCATCAGATACGTTGGAAACTATAAAATATTAAGATATACGTTAATCAATGTAATGAAATTTATACTGTCAGAAGTATTTCAAATATAACTGAAACTACACTACAGAAATAAATATTATTAAACAAAACACTACTTTTTTGTACTTAAATTCTCATGTTTAGATCAAATTTTTGCCATTTCTGAAACAAATTTTATCTAAGAAAATTCTAGAGTTAAAATCAATCCTCAAACCAAGTTTATTCAAAATACATTGTCACGTTCAGATTGATTTTGTACCTTTCCTACGATGAAATCAATATCTGTAAACTGTCGACTTTCCAGGAGTCGTCCATAGTCATCATGCAGTGTACATTTTGGATAACTAGAAAACTAAAAAAAAGCAAACACATGAATTAGACACAAAACCTTAACGCCTGTTCCTGCGACCAGAAATTCACAAGTGTAGAATTTGACACTCATGAAGTCATGTTCTTATTATTTTTCTAATATTTTGTAAATCTGCATTTCTGACTTGAATTTACTGTCTGAACAAACCCTTATTCATGTAACACAAGGAGTAAGTTTTGATGAAGAGTCAACACAAGAGAACTGGACATCATTACCTGGAATCTGTACATCTCCCCACTTCTAACATTGTTATCGACGGTCCCTCCAAACACATACATAGAGTCTGACACCACAGACGCAGCATGAAACAGCCGACCCGCAGGAACCTGATCGTAATAAAATATTATTTATTCTGTATTGTGTCATTGAATTTTAACAAAAAATAATATGAGCAATTTTGACATTTGAATTGTAGGTTTACATCTTATATTTTTAATAAGAAATGGAAACTCTTTATCCTTACTTTTAAATGTTCTTATTTGAAGTAGATTCATGAAAAGCTTTGTTTACCTGACTGTCATTGGAGGGATCCACCACTGACCAAGTCTGGGAGTCCAAATCAAAGCTGTAACAAATAAAGGGGCGTAACTCTTACATTTATTGTCCTGATAACCAAAAGCTAAAATAAGTAAGGGGGGATAACTCTTACAGCCAGATTCTCATTGCTGTCAATAATCATAATCTTTTCTGATGATATGTAAATTCTAAAAATAGAATCAACATACTAACAAGTTTAAAATTTAAATATCATTGTATGCATTATCACAACGAGAATCTGAAATGATCAAACAAGGAGAAACTATGTATGTATATCACCATCTCTGAATTAATACACACCAGTGTAACTCATTAGGCAGGGTTTGTCCCGTAGCTCCTCCAAACACATACAGGTGGCGATCAAACGCTACCATCGTATGACCATACCGCTTCTCTGGTGGGGGTGGAGCTCCACGCAAGATGTGGTCAGTCGAGATTCTAGTCCACCTGTTAAGGACAGAGAATTTATACTAAATTTAAAAAAACTTAGATTTTCTCTCAAAAATGTTTATACAAAATTCTGATTATATCATTTTACTTCATTTGTAAGTTTTCAAGTTGCGTCATCATCAATACCAAAGTGTTTTAAAACTGTATGATAATGAATATTTTGAAAACATGACTGAAGAAATTTTGGTAGATTCATTGCATATATCAACAACTGTGTAACATTTTATGTTCAACACTGTGATACAATGTACCATGAATATTGTATCTAGTTGGTTTCTAGTATAACAATTACATGGAAAATATTCCTGGAGAGATCCAGAAATTCTAACACTATAAATCAAATATTTTCAAAACATTTAAATGATCGATTCAATTTTCTGAAAAATCTTATCCTAATAAAAAAAACTTTTTATTTTATTTTTCAATTTATCTTTCCAAGCAAGAACTGGTTGTATGGATCAATATAAGTTAACACTTACTCTTGAGCATCAAATTTGAACTGGAAGAGATTATTGGTGATCTTAGCACCGCTTTGTCCCGAGAACACGTACATGGAATCCCGAGCTACAGCAAGGGCAAAGTTACAGCAGGTAGGGGGTATGTTACCTGTCTGATTTACCTGTTAATCACAAAAAGAGTCACATCAAGTTAGGGTTATATAACCTGTTGGATCTACCTGAAGATTACAAGGTTATACAGCAGGTAGACGTTATATATGTATAATTTACCTCTTAGACACCACAAAGTTACAGCAGATAATGACATGTCACCTGCTTTACCTGTATATGAAATATACCAGTACTACTACACTACACATCTTCAAAGTGCTGAGTGCATTTAAAGATGCTGTGCTTGGTAGGTTGAAATACAGGAAGTGGTATATCAGTACAGAATGGCAGATTATAACTTTAGCAAGGATCATATGGAAATTTACTGAGAAAAGTTATCTTATTTAATGGATAAAATCATTTATCGTGTTCATTTTGGCAGGCTTTCAATCTTCACCCCCCGGAATGCAACCTACATCGCATTATTCATGAAATTGTTAGGACTTTGCAAAATGGACGACAGGAGACACATATGTTCTATTGCCTCCCTACTCCATCATAGCATGAATAGTGCAAAAAAAGAGAGTTCTGAATGCTTGTTGATAAAGCATGTCATTGTGGCAAATTCTCTTATTTTTCCTTTGATTGATTGATTGACTGATTGATTAATTGATTGATTGATTGACTGATTGATTAATTGATTGATTGATTGACTGATTGATTTATTAATTGATCCCATATAGATGTATTTGACCATTTAACATCATTAATATTAACATGACTTGATACGATTAAAACATACATTTAATTAAATAATTAATTTAATTCAACTGATGAAGTCTGCTGTTGGTTTATTAAGCAGCTCGCGGGGATAAATGATGCATAGCATCTCTAGAGATATGACAAAACAAACTTCAGCCTACAAACAATTGAAATGCATCATCTTTTGTCTTCAACTTAAATACAAGTTAGAAAATTTATAAAAAATAAAGTATTTTGGTTTGAGAATACACACCAAAATTAATAAAATCATTCAAATAAGCAGTAATTATACGCTTTCAATTAGAAGTCAGCTGGCAGTGAAAGTTACCTCTTCCCAATTTTTGGCACTTTCTGTCAATGGAATTGTCCACATATCATTAAGTCTTGCATTCCCGTCATATCCCGCAAATATCCACAGTTTCCAATCATAGATAGCAGCACCATGGGCAGCACGAGCGACTGGGCATCGACCCTCAAATTTCCACTCCACCCACTGTCCAGTCGCAAAACGATATTCAAATAGGTCGTTCTTATTGGTGAGGTTTAAGTTGGAATGGATGTCCCCCGTGTAACCACCTGTCACAAACACATATTGCAGTAGTGCTCAAACTTTGACAATATAGGTAATGTTGAAACCATGCTCTCACTTAAAATGTGTATGATTAAATCCACCTCCAGTTCTCTCTTATATTTAATTCGTTTATTGGTGATGTATAATTCTATTAACCACCAGGGTAATTTAAAAATGTGCATTGTTTGGACGGCGAAAGAAAGACTTTTTTGAGAAAAACACAGACCTGTTGTGAATACCTTGTGACTGCCCATGTTCTCCTTAACACTGTGACCCAGAGGTGATAGGCTAGTGATAAGATATCAGATGTCTTGGCCACTATGGCCCCTTCCCTCTTATGTTAAATTTTCTAATGTATGTAAGACAGATTTTAGCAGTATGCTTAATGGAATAAATATTTATTTCAAACTAACATACATATTTCTGGAGATTAGAGTGTGATGATTTGATGACTATACAGACACCTTCATCAGACCTGTTCAGTACTGGCCCCCTGTTGCGTATCCAGATGACTTCCTTAATTAGCCACTTTACCCAGCCAGGGCTCTTGATCTGCCAGATTTGGAATCCCAATGCAAAATAGTATCTTTTTTCCCAATTTAGACCCGAAGTTTTCCCATTCTAAGGAAAACACCATTATTTTTCCCAATTCTAAGGGCCTCGGGCCCCAGTCCCAAAATGGGGTGTGAGAGCTCTGCCAACAGCGGACCAGTACAGGGACAATGGGGGCCACCGACTCTTAATCTATGTGTTAAACAAAGTGTAGTCAAATTGACTACAGTACATTGTTATCATCTGGTGTATTTTTTTAGTCTATAACCTGCTTACCATCTCATCTAACTAGTTTTTACCTTAGTGTACATGTGATGATTCCATACCATCTTGTACGTACGTCAGTGCTAGTACGCTCCATACTGGTAATTTTTCTGATGAAGGTGACTGGTTTTGTTATAACTACTATTCTAATCACATGGGCAACAGATTTATAGCTTTATAAAAACAGCTTTTTGAATGTAAGGTCTTATCAGATATTTCACTTCTGTACTATGCACTCTTTGATTTTTTGTGAAATTCTTTTACAACATTCTGATTAATACATGTAAAATCTTTGTAGATATCAATATAGAAATGATATTTTCATAGAAGAGAATCTTACATTGATCAATCAGCCCATTATGTTATTTCTTACCAAAAACGAACATGCTTCCCTCATGGACAACAGCTGAGTGGTGATAACGAGGGGCTGGGGGATAGCCAGTGGTGAAGGCCCTGTTACCAAACAAATTATACAAACACCATTAAATATCCTTTAAATACATCAGTTTTGCAGTTTATAAACATGTTTAAAACAATCTCAAGGCCAGCAGATCTAATATAAAATGTGATAATTTTAACTCGTTTTTTTTTTTTAATTTTGAATTCAGTGTCAACCATAGTTTACTGTTTTTGCAGGATACAATGTTACAACTTATTTAACACTATAAATAGAAATAGCCTCAGCTTGTCTGTGTCAGACAGAAATAGCTTCAGCTTGTCTGTGTCAGATTGATATAGCCTCAGCTTGTCTGTGTCTGACAGAAATAGCCTCAGCTTGTCTGTGTCAGACAGAAATAGCCTCAGCTTGTCTGTGTCAGACAGAAATAGCCTCAGCTTGTCTGTGTCAGACAGAAATAGCCTCAGCTTGTCTGTGTCAGACAGAAATAGCCTCAGCTTGTCTGTGTCAGACAGAAATAGCCTCAGTTTGTCTGTGTCAGACAGAAATAGCTTCAGCTTGTCTGTGTCAGATTGAAATAGCTTCAGCTTGTCTGTGTCATACAGAAATAGCCTCAGCTTGTCTGTGTCATACAGAAATAGCCTCAGCTTGTCTGTGTCAGACAGATATAGCCTCAGCTTGTCTGTGTCTGACAGAAATAGCCTCAGTTTGTCTGTGTCAGACAGAAATAGCCTCAGCTTGTCTGTGTCAGACAGAAATAGCCTCAGCTTGTCTGTGTCTGACAGAAATAGCCTCAGCTTGTCTGTGTCATACAGAAATAGCTTCAGCTTGTCTGTGTCAGAATGATATAGCCTCAGCTTGTCTGTGTCAAATAGAAATAGCCTCAGCTTGCCTGTGTCAGACAGAAATAGCTTCAGTTTGTCTGTGTCATACAGAAATAGCTTCAGCATGTCTGTGTCTGATAGAAATAGCTTCAGCTTGTCTGTGCCATACAGAAATAGCCTCAGCTTGTCTGTGTCATACAGAAATAGCCTCAGCTTGTCTGTGTCATACAGAAATAGCCTCAGCTTGTCTGTGTCAGACAGATGATTTTTACCTTCCCCAGGACTTGTCTTTGACATCAAACCTTAGCAGATCATTCAGCATATTCTTCCTGTAAAGCAAATAAAATCATTCTTATCTGTTTTTTTTATTACATGACAATTTAATGTACAATGTATTACATATGTACCTACATGTTAAACAAACTATTGAGTTCCTAAATGGATAATGTGAGTAATTTATCAAATCAGGTTAGTACAGCACCATGAACTCAATCCAGAGATAAATATTATAAAATTGAATATTTTTTTAGGGGGAGCAATTAGGTAACAAGTTAGTGAAACTATTTGTAATATAATTACTTTCCTCTTACAATGCATTGGCTAAATGGCAGCATACAATGTATGCACACACATGGGTTAGAATGTCCTTTTATAGTTAGCAACAGATTACATGGAGAAACCCTATACAATGAAGCTGTCATTATACATAACTTTCAGTAATAGTCAAATGTTATGAGGATTGTAAAGCTTCAGCTATGAACACATTATAAAGTCATTTTTGTGATTTGAATCTGCCATCTTTAGACTGGTTGATCATGACAATTAGTATATATATAGGTACCTCGGTTGCAGAATATTTGGCAACAGTTGGAGATCCTTGGTTCAAATTTTGATCTGTTGCCTTAGCTTTTAGTTCAGGTACCTTTTGTTAAGAATTGTGTCTTTGGTTTGTCAAAAGCAATTGAGAAACTCCATAGTTACAGCTGTACTGGTGAATATACCTACCCATTATCACCTCCAAACACATAGATAGCTTCTTTATAAGCAACAACAGTGTGTTTGCTTCGCCTGGAACAGAAATTAAATTAATGTTAAACATATAAAGTGAAAAAGAATTAATAGTAATCAATTTGATAAACTTTTATTTATTAATACTGTTGGTTATTATAGAAGCATGCAGGGATGTTTTGAGGTAGAGGGAAGAAAATTTAATTGTATATGGAGTATATTTGTGCCAGGTACATTTAAGAAATAAATCAACTATGTGCAGCATGCATTTCTTCATGTTTGAATGGAGAATCAAAGCAATTTACATCTTAGTGAATTAAATTTTAAGCAAAAAATTTTTTTGCAATTCTATACCGATTTTTTGTGTATTTACTGAGGAATGGGGGTATTTGCAGGGCTCTTGATCTGCCAGACTATATCTTTTTTCCCAATTTAGACCCGAAGTTTTCCCATTCTAAGAAAAACACCATTATTTTTCCCAATTCTAAGGGCCTCGGGCCCCAGTCCCTAAATGGGGTGTGAGAGCTCTGATTTGACTTAAGAATATCTCAATTTTTTTACAGTCCTTTGAGATGCACATGTATAAAAAGTCTAGAAATGTATGGTATAGATTATTTACTGTCCTTATGATGTTGAAAAGAGAAACATTATTTGGTGAAGTCTTATATTATTATCATGCTTTCAAATGTTCATTGAATCAGTACATGAAGATACAATCAATTTGGATCAAATGTTTTCCTATTTAAATGAAACATACTGACCTGGCCCCTACAAACTCATCACACTCTGGCATCCGTCTCCATCTATGGACCGTCTCGAAAGGACCAAAATCCAATGTCAGGCACTCAGCACCTTCTGTCCACAGATGGTCAAACTCGATACCAGGGGGTCTGGCCGCCGCCATGTTATCACACAAAAATACAGAATCAAAACAAATATTGGATCATCATTTTTTGTTGTTAAACAGCAACAGTAGCTTCATGTTACTGATCTTTGTTGGTTCAGTAACACAAAAACTTCAATTCGCATTCAACAACAGGAAACAGGAAATGCATCAGACAAAATCCATGTCAGAAAGACGTTTGCTGCTTAAGGAAGAGCCCGTAGGGATCGAGTTTGGAGCGTCTTTGATACATTGAGTTACTTTCATTTTAACTTGACTTTGCACCTGATGCACAGCACTTCACAAACGACACACGATGGGTGTCACGCTTTGGCTGGGTACAGGTTTAGTGACCGTAGCATGCTGTTACATCCTGTTCAAGCTAACACAACGTTATGTAGCTACAAGGAAACGTAACGCGATGATCGAGAGGTTTCCAGGCAGTAAGGCAAATATCCTGTTTGGAAATTTACTAGAGGTAAATGTATGCAAACCCTCAAATTTATATATAGAGAAGTCATGATTAGATGCTTATATTTATATAAATATAATTCATGTAATCCACATTTTGATTGTGTTGCTAGCTTATAACTATACTCTGCACTTTATGTGTGCATGTACAACGCATGAAACACACACTAACAAAACACTGCTGATACAATTTAACTAAAAGAAAAATGTAGAAAAAAAATCATACTGTATATTGCATGTGATATTATATAGCTAGTAATGATAATACTCATAATTCGATGACAAAATGCACTCTGACCATGGACTTTAATATAGAATCCATCTATATATACAATGTAATATAAGTCTACTTAAATTGATTGATGCTGTAGTGTCTGTGAAAATGAAAACAATATCAAGTATATTTTAGCATATATCTCTGTTGTTGGTGTTTGATTTCAAATCACTACTGATTTCATCAGCTAGTAAACTTTGATGAAATCATTTAGAAACAAGGGTTGAACGGTCTAGTTCTTTTATCAAACACAATTCAAAGGTCAAGGTCATATATATCGCTGCAACATGTACTTTGTATTGACACACTATATACACAAATGTTTAGGAGTGAATGTTAGGAAATATCTTTTAATGATGTACACTGTTTTTCAACTGATCTACTGTATACACAGTTAGTTTTAGTACCCGGTTTCATATCATATTTGTTTCCCCTATTATAAATGTACCCATACACTATTATGATGGGGGATACAAATATGATATGACACTGGTAATAAACCAGTGATTTGTACGTGAAATTCTTATGAAACATTCAATTATATAATCTATTATTTCATTTTCAATTGTAGCAAATGTCATCACATTTAAATTTTTTTTAAAAAAACAGTACCCAGGACCTAATGAAGCTGGACTAAAATATCAAAGGGACATGACAGCTCTATTTCCTCGAATATCCAGAGCATGGCTGGGACCGTTTATTCCATTAATAATTGTTAATCACCCAGAGACTGTCAAGGCTATTATGAAGACATCAGGTACACATGATAAGTTTATCTTGCAATATTTAGCCCATGTCTGTCAATAAGCCCACCCATATCTATTATTATTCAGCAGCATTACCAACAATTGCTGTTGCAGTTACTGAATTTGAGTCGGAAGAAACATTACTATGATATGATTAAGAACTTAAATGCACGTTTTAAACATCTCAAATGACGTTAAAAAGATGTATTTTGTTTCTTATATTGATATTTTCTTTTAAAGTATCAACAAAATCATATTTCAGCTTTTTAGAGGCCATTTTTTTAATTCAGGTTTATTGTCAAAAATGTTACCAACTGGTAGAACAGTCATTTTAGAAGAACACCATTTAGTTTTAATAATGATCGACTCTGATTGGCAACATCATTTGGAAATCATACGGGAATTTATACAGTGATTAAAATTCTTATTTTATGTTTTATTTCTCATATGTGTGAAGCACAAGTGAAAAATATAGATATGATATTTAACGTAAAACCATTGAATTATGTTTTGATTACATTTAAAATGAAAGGAAATGAAAAGAAGTTGATCCAAACATAAAATAAAGTAGCTTTCAGGAAATATTAGTGTGTTCTTTGATGTCAGATAGCTTGACAATAAAATGATGCCAATTTGATCAGGTTCGTTAAGGTTCTATTTTACCATTTTATGCTGTTAGCTGGTAAATATTGCATACAAAACTGTTTTTGTATACCAAATTAGTTAAATTGTTCTTGTTTTATAGAATAAAAAAGAAAAAGAAAAGAAATCAGAAAAATACAGAATTGAAAACCATTTTGAATATGATAAGAAGACATTAATAGATCTAAACCAAGAAAATGGCTACAAGTGTTTCTGATGGCTCGACACAGTACACCATCTAGAAACTTTGTGACTTTATCCGAACCACGGAATTCAAGATTTATAAAGCGGCATACAAGGCTACAAAATACAAAAGAATAGATTGTATGTACAGTTAAGTTTAATGTGATAATTTGTAAGTACCTACAGACATTCCCTATGAAACTGTAGCTTGATATGACAATTTTTATCATCTTAAAAGAACCAAAAGGAAAACAGATCTACCGACTGATTGAGCCCTGGGTAGGAGATGGACTGTTGCTCTCTGGGGGCAGTAAGTGGAGAAGGAATCGCAGACTCTTGACGCCAGCATTCCACTTTGATATTCTAAAACCATACCAGAAGCTCAACAATCGCACTGCAGATATATTTATTGTAAGTAAAACTTCTACCACAGGGTATACCCTATGCATTGTATAAGATATGTCCTTTAGACTCCAAGTTGTTATCCCATTTTAAGCTTGTCTAAATCGAAAAAAAGTGAATTTCAAAATGATTTTTTTTTATCCTGATGAATGTATTCTTTTCGACAAATGAAAAAACAAACAATATTGTGTATAACCGCTACCTTCTTAAAGGGTGAGTATATAAGTAATCACTTTGTCTGTTTGTCCAACATATTGTATAACATGTCTCATAAACCTATAAAAATATTGTGTATAAGATGTCTTTCTCATGAACCAATAAAAACATTGTGTATAAGATGTCTCTCACATGAACCAATAAAAACATTGTGTATAAGATGTCTCTCACATGAACCAATAAAAACATTGTGTATAAGATGTCTCTCACATGAACCAATAAAAACATTGTGTATAAGATGTCTCTCACATGAACCAATAAAAACATTGTGTATAACATGTCTCATAAACCAATAAAAACATTGTGTATAAGATGTATCTCACATGAACCAATAAAAACATTGTGTATAACATGTCTCATAAACCAATAAAAACATTGTGTATAAGATGTCTCTCTCATGAACCAATAAAAACATTGTGTATAAGATGTCTCTCACATGAACCAATAAAAACATTGTGTATAAGATGTCTCTCTCATGAACCAATAAAAACATTGTGTAGAATATGTCTCTCACATGAACCAATAAAAACATTGTGTATAAGATGTCTCTCACATGAACCAATAAAAACATTGTGTATAAGATGTCTCACATGAACCAATAAAAACATTGTGTATAAGATGTCTCTCACATGAACCAATAAAAACATTGTGTATAAGATGTCTCTCACATGAACACCAATAAAAACATTGTGTATAAGATAAGATGTCTCTCACATGAACCAATAAAAACATTGTGTATAAGATGTCTCTCACATGAACCAATAAAAACATTGTGTATAAGATGTCTCTCACATGAACCAATAAAAACATTGTGTATAAGATGTCTCTCACATGAACCAATAAAAACATTGTGTATAAGATGTCTCTCTCATGAACCAATAAAAACATTGTGTATAAGATGTCTCTCACATGAACCAATAAAAACATTGTGTATAAGATGTCTCTCACATGAACCAATAAAAACATTGTGTATAAGATGTCTCTCACATGAACCAATAAAAACATTGTGTATAAGATGTCTCTCTCACGAACCAATAAAAGCATTGTGTATAAGATGTCTCTCACACGAACCAATAAAAACATTGTGTATAAGATGTCTCTCACACATTGTGTATAAGATGTCTCTCACACGAACCAATAAAAACATTGTGTATAAGCTGTCTCTCACACGAACCAATAAAAAACATTGTGTATAAGATGTCTCTCACATGAACCAATAAAAACATTGTGTATAAGATGTCTCTCACATGAACCAATAAAAACATTGTGTATAAGATGTCTCTCACATGAACCAATAAAAACATTGTGTATAAGATGTCTCTCACATGAACCAATAAAAACATTGTGTATAACATGTCTCATAAACCAATAAAAACATTGTGTAGAAGATGTCTCTCTCATGAACCAATAAAAACATTGTGTAGAAGATGTCTCTCACATTGTGTAACCAATAAAAAAAAACATTGTGTATAAAAACATTGTGTATAAGATGTCTCTCACTCACATGAACCAATAAAAACATTGTGTATAACATGTCTCATAAACCAATAAAAACATTGTGTAGAAGATGTCTCTCTCATGAACCAATAAAAACATTGTGTAGAAGATGTCTCTCACATGAACCAATAAAAACATTGTGTATAAGATGTCTCTCACATGAACCAATAAAAACATTGTGTATAAGATGTCTCTCTCATAAACCATGTCTCATAAACCAATAAAAACATTGTGTATAAGATGTATCTCTCATGAACCAATAAAAACATTGTGTAGAAGATGTCTCTCACATGAACCAATAAAAACATTGTGTATAAGATGTCTCTCACATGAACCAATAAAAACATTGTGTATAAGATGTCTCTCACATGAACCAATAAAAACATTGTGTATAAGATGTCTCTCACATGAACCAATAAAAACATTGTGTATAAGATGTCTCTCACATGAACCAATAAAAACATTGTGTATAAGATGTCTCTAAACCAATAAAAACATTGTGTAACCTCTCAATAAAAACATTGTGTATAAGATGTCTCTCACATGAACCAATAAAAACATTGTGTATAAGATGTCTCTCACATGAACCAATAAAAACATTGTGTATAAGATGTCTCTCACATGAACCAATAAAAACATTGTGTATAAGATGTCTCTCACATGAACCAATAAAAACATTGTGTATAACATGTCTCATCACATGAACCAATAAAAACATTGTGTATAAGATGTCTCATGAACCAATAAAAACATTGTGTATAAGATGTCTCTCAACATGTATAAGATGTCTCTACCAATAAAAACATTGTGGATGTCCAATAAAAACATTGTGTATAAGATGTCTCATGAACCAATAAAAACATTGTGTAGAAGATGTCTCTCACATGAACCAATAAAAACATTGTGTAGAAGATGTCTCTCTGATGAACCAATAAAAACATTGTGTATAAGATGTCTCTCACATGAACCAATAAAAACATTGTGTATAAGATGTCTCTCACATGAACCAATAAAAACATTGTGTATAAGATGTCTCTCACATGAACCAATAAAAACATTGTGTATAAGATGTCTCTCACATGAACCAATAAAAACATTGTGTATAAGATGTCTCTCATAAAAACATTGTGTAACCAATAAAAACATTGTGTATAAGATGTCTCTCACATGAACCAATAAAAACATTGTGTATAAGATGTCTCTCACATGAACCAATAAAAACATTGTGTAAAGATGTCTCTCTCATAAAATAAAAACATTGTGTATAAGATGTCTCTCACATGAACCAATAAAAACATTGTGTATAAGATGTCTCTCACATGAACCAATAAAAACATTGTGTATAAGATGTCTCTCACATGAACCAATAAAAACATTGTGTATAAGATGTCTCTCACATGAACCAATAAAAACATTGTGTATAAGATGTCTCTCACATGAACCAATAAAAACATTGTGTATAAGATGTCTCTCACATGAACCAATAAAAACATTGTGTATAAGATGTCTCTCACATGAACCAATAAAAACATTGTGTATAAGATGTCTCTCACATGAACCAATAAAAACATTGTGTATAAGATGTCTCTCACATGAACCAATAAAAACATTGTGTATAAGATGTCTCTCACATGAACCAATAAAAACATTGTGTATAAGATGTCTCTCACATGAACCAATAAAAACATTGTGTATAAGATGTCTCTCAATAAAAACATGAACCAATAAAAACATTGTGTATAAGTGTATGTCTCTCACATGAACCAATAAAAACATTGTGTATAAGATGTCTCTCACATGAACCAATAAAAACATTGTGTATAAGATGTCTCTCACATGAACCAATAAAAACATTGTGTATAAGATGTCTCTCACATGAACCAATAAAAACATTGTGTATAAGATGTCTCTCACATGAACCAATAAAAACATTGTGTATAAGATGTCTCTCACATGAACCAATAAAAACATTGTGTATAAGATGTCTCTCACATGAACCAATAAAAACATTGTGTATAAGATGTCTCTCACATGAACCAATAAAAACATTGTGTATAAGATGTCTCTCACATGTGTATAAGATGTCTCAACCAATAAAAACATTGTGTATAAGATGTCTCTCACATGAACCAATAAAAACATTGTGTATAAGATGTCTCTCACATGAACCAATAAAAACATTGTGTATAAGATGTCTCTCACATGAACCAATAAAAACATTGTGTATAAGATGTCTCTCACATGAACCAATAAAAACATTGTGTATAAGATGTCTCTCACATGAACCAATAAAAACATTGTGTATAAGATGTCTCTCACATGAACCAATAAAAACATTGTGTATAAGATGTCTCTCACATGAACCAATAAAAACATTGTGTATAAGATGTCTCTCTCATGAACCAATAAAAACATTGTGTATAAGATGTCTCGCTGTAGTACCACTCCACCAAGGTATACACCTGCGTGGATTTTGGTGGTTAACAACCAAGGTTAAATGTAAAAGAACACCATTGAGGACTTTTGAAATAAAAACTTTATATTCACACCATAGCCTGACACTTTCAAGTTCTATACTAGATTACATTTTGGTGGTCATTGGTCAAAGGTTAAGGTTAAAAGTTGCTTTGATCAATTTTGAAATGAAATCTTGTTATGATATTTCATGAATCCCCTAATAGATTAACTCCTCAGTAGAATGGGCATATACCTATGTGAGCCCATGTTCATTTTGTTTATATCTTTATTTTGTTACTTGTCAAAAAAGTGTGGAATGGTAAAGATCACTTTCATAATGCATGTATATTCTCAGCAAAAAAATGATCCATCAAGTTTTCTATAAAGCCCCGCCCCCCTCCCACTCCAACCTCAGAGAACACTGCCCCCTTCGTCTCCTCAAAAACATCCAAATTCTGCAAGGTCTGCATTGTTGCAGCTGGCCAAAATCCCTTATATGGAATTTTCTGATTTACCTACACATACACCAAACATCATTCTGTATACATTGTTTATTTAACAAGATAACAAGATGCATCAGTGAAGACATTATTTGTAAATGTACTCTTAGGCATTGATGATAAATGAATTTATTATTTTTTTTCGTATAAATTGTAGACTATATCTTTTTATTCCATTTACCCTCTGTCATCAGGATAAACTTGACAAATTCCACCTGGAGGGAGATGGCTACTTTGAAGCTTTTTCACATGTCTCTCAGTACACATTAGATGTCATCCTGCAATGTGCATTCTCCTACAAGACCGACTGTCAGAATATAGGGTACGTTTTTTCCATTTTTATCCTGGAATAAGCCCAGTGGGCCAACAAAAAATATTGATTCAAAATAGGGGTTTAGCTTAAACTCAAATTGTAATTACACAGAAGCTGTTAGATTAATACTACTGTAGGGACCAGGATTTTTCTCTTGATAGTTAGAAATTTACTAAATTCTAATGATTTTAAAGTATTTCAGTGGCAGTTCTATACCAATATTTCTGAATGATACAGGGTTCATTTAAAATAAAATTGCATGTCATGCTTGCAATTGGGGAATATCATATGAAAGTCAAACCAATCGAGTGTATTTCCTATTTTGCTTATTGAACTCAAAAGCTTTTTCTTGGCAGAGACAAACATCCCTATGTACGCTGTGTAACAGAACTGCTGGAGTTGATAACAGACAGATTTTTGTAAGTATGCTTTAATGTCAATGTTGATGTGATATTTTCTGCCATAACTTTTGTTTATGAAAGAGTTTGTGTTCATTGTATGTGTTGATGGGTAGGAATTTTCTTAGAACTTTTCTTAGAATTTTTACTTTGTGTTAAAGTTTAGAATTAAAGTTTGTGGAAAGGTTGTGTGTGATATACTTTTAGCTTAATATTTCAAATTTGATGACTCTGCAAAAATGAAGAAGGAGACATGTTTGTTGGTGGGGGATTACATGCAGTAAGATCTCATACTGGGGACTTCTGATGAATTGTGAGGAGTTTGCATTTGGATATCTGGTATGACAGTGTCATAAAGTCTCTATGAGCACTGTTTATTACCTGTGATTTATTTGGGTTGTACAACTAAGTGGATTTTTTTACAAATAATTTATAATGTTTGGATGTATTTCTGTCTGTACAGTAAACCGTGGCTCCATAATGACATTGTCTACCTATTGACAAGTGATGGGCGACGCTTTAAGAGACATTGCGACTTTGTACACAAAGTGGCGGAGGACATCATCGCTCAGAGAAGAGAAGCAATGGTAATTAGTCATCAGCTGTTACACTAACGTTTATACTGTACATAATAATTCATGGTTGTTATGTTAATGTTTATTCATTTGATGAATGTATAGATATATTTTTTTCCCAGCTTCAAATTGTGTTTGTAAATGAAAAAGAATGTAAAAACGGTGAAGGAAAAAAAAACAAAAAATATAATTACAGAAAATAAATATTACTGAAATGTGACTAATACCCATTTGACATGAAATAGGTGTACTGTCAATCTATCTCTTAATATCTCACTATCACCTTAAGGTCGTACATATTTGAAGAAATCCACAACTTGACATTCACAATTTCATTTTAGAAATTAGAAGACAGTTCGGGGGAAAAAAAGGCACTTGACTTCTTAGATATATTACTGACTGCTAAGGACGAGGAAGGGATGGGTCTCACTGATAGTGAGATCAGAAACGAGGTGGACACATTCTTGTTTGAAGGTAAATAACCAGAAACATTAAAAATGGTATATGATGGTCGCATGAAAATTTATATAAACATGTATTGATTGTAATGCGTTCAGGTCTGAAATCCTTTATTTTCATGGATCATGATTTACTTTGACAGATTTAACAGGATTGTTTGACTTTTTTACTGATGTAATAGAAATGTTAATCAAGGAGCATTCAGATCATTAATTTGGTACATATGATAAGTCAACATGCTGACTTGTATGATGCTGCTGACTTGTTGATGTCGCTGACTTGATGATGCCGCTGACTTGATGATGCCGCTGATTTGATGATGCTGATTTGTTGATGCCGCTGATTTGATGATGCCGCTGACTTGATGATGTCGCTGACTTGATGATGCCGCTGATTTGATGATGCCGCTGACTTGATGATGCTGCTGCTGACTTGATGATGCCGCTGACTTGATGATGCCGCTGATTTGATGATGCCGCTGACTTGATGATGCCGCTGACTTGATGATGCCGCTGACCTGATGATGCCGTTGACTTGAGAATGCCGCTGACTTGATGATGCTGCTGACTTGATGATGCCACTGACTTGATGATGCCGCTGACTTGATGATGCCGCTGACCTGATGATGCTGCTGATTTTTTAGAATGCCACTGACTTGAGAATGCTGCTGACTTGATGATGCCGCTGACTTGATGCTTCCGCTGATGTGATGAGACGCTGATTTGATGATGCTGCCGACTTGATGATGCTGCTGACTTGATGATGCTGTCGACTTGATGATGCTGCTGACTTGTATAATGTATATTCACATTTTCCAGGCCATGATACGACTGCCAGTGCTATCTCCTGGACTCTGTATTCATTGGCAGAACATCATGACATCCAGAAACGAGCCCAACAAGAGATTGACGAGGTACTTCAGGGACGAGACTCTGACGATATTACCTGGTATGTTTTATATTTTTCATATTTTTTTGTTATTGTTGTTGGTACATATAAGGTTTACACTTTGAGAGAACAACTTTTTTTAGATGCAATATTCTACTTGATCATTTTTATATTCTCTTTTCTTATCTTTTTGGTCCAAGGATCAGAAAGCAAAACAAACAGGTATATCTAAAATGAATAAATGCTTTTTTCAAATTAATGTTGAGTATGGTAGTGATAATATCTCATTCAGTAGGCCTTGGTCAGCTCTTGCTTGAAACCAAGTCTGCTAACTAACAGTGGGATGGTGACTATATATAATTGGTTACCTTATCATTTAACCTGATTCGATGTAATGATCAATTTTTGATTTTAAATAATTGATCATCAATATTTTCCTGTTTTCTGATTAAGAGAAATTTATATTTTGAATACATTAATGTAATAAAAATGCCAATTGCCAGTAGTATTCATTTCTATTCTCGGTAAGAAAGGTATTTTAGGTTAATGTTAAGAAAAAGAAAGTATTGATGCCACATGGAATTAATTCACTTTCTTTGAATATTGAACTCACAGTCAGCCTATTATATAATTGATTAACTACATCGGAAAGTCTGTCAGATTTTAACCAAAATTGATTAAGGAATTTGACTGTCCCATCCCTAATGGATACACTGCTTTTAGATTGATATGCCTCCACGTAAATGTTCACATCAATTTTTGGTCCAATGTCAGCTATCTCACCTCTGAACAATGCAATCTTTTCCAAATCCATAACACTTACAAGCAGTTAATTTTTTTTTCTTTTTTTTTTAACAATCATAATCACAAAATTATAATGAACTATCTGTTGTATTGATTCAATATGCAGAATAATTTCAATGGAAAAAAAAAATTAGATTTGAAAGTAGACATTGTTTTGTTTGTAATAACTCAGTTGAAGCAATATACACGAATGTATATCAAATTCATGTGCTTTATATTGATAAACTTTAAATACCCTGTCAAACAAAGAAAATGGACCTTTTTGATTCTACAACCAAGTTTATTATCAACAGGGATGATTGTTCAAATTTGCCATACTTGACAATGTGTTTACGAGAAGCAATGCGAATTCATGTCCCAGTCCCGCTACTGTTAAGGGAGACAACTGAGGACTTAGAAATGTGTGGACATGTCATTCCGACGGGAACTTTGATAACTCTAAGTTTGTACAGACTGCATCATAATGTTGAAATCTGGGAAAACTCCCTGGTAGGTGTATTACCTCCCTTTGGTAGCTCTTCTACTCATACGACAAAACACTAAGTACTGCTGAATTAAAATTTTAAATCTTTGTTTTGACATATATATAGTAGTTGTCCAGCTGTTAGAATCAGTATTGTGTAGCACTCTGATTGGTTAAACCACATCAAAAAACTTTTTTGATTTATTTAAGAAAGAACACCAGGGACTGGAAAGGCACTCTATATCAGACAAGATTCCTTTTTTGTGTATTACCAGTTCACAAATTCTAAATTTTGCAAGGACTGATTGATAAGTTGTGAGCCTCATATTTAAGGGGTGACTTTTAGCGGACATGTTGCATTATTTTTCAACATAAGCCCCTTCAGTATCTATATACTTTTGTTAGCAATGTTTAAGGGCCTCAATGCCACTTTTAAAGAAGTCCTTTGCATGACTAATCAGAAAGTTCTCCACTGCATGTATGACATCATCATCTGAAAGTGGGAACCAGAAATGGCCTATTTTAAATGATTTTTTTTGTAAATGCCAAAATTTTTCATGAACTTGAAAATGAAAACAAAATGTATGAATACTTTATATAATTTGTGAGCTCATTACTTTCAGTTTGAGAAAAGGTGGTTTTATGGATAAATGGCTAATTTCATTTTTACCAGATAATTATGTCTGGAATAATTCTTATCAAAGTATTTTTTATCCCATAATTTCTGTTGGATTTACTCAGGTAATTTTTGCAAATAATATAGTGTATTAGGGTAATATACCTTGGAGCGTTTTTCATTGGCTGTGTCGGTCAGAAATAGATTGTGATGTCATATATGATATGGACAATGAACTTTTATCAGGAGTTGAAAATGGTGAAACGGAATGTCTGCCTCAATATAATTTTGACTTCAAAACCTGTCAAAATGTTTCTTACCTATCTGATAAAAAGTCTTTTAAATTTGTTTTCATTTTGTATGAGATTTTGTGAAACTCATTTAAAAGTTTTATTTTGTTTTGCTTGCTAGGCCTGTAAAAATAAAAACTGCTAAAATTGATTTCATAAAATTTCATATGAAATCAAAACTCTTGTGAGATCCTACAAAGTACATATATTAACAGAAAAAATCTTAACATATTTAACAGAACTTAATCAATTTTGTCTGCTTGGTGAAAGTGAGAGTAATAATGTTATAAATTTTGAATTGTGTGAACAAAAAAATTTTGTCTAAATAAATTGGTTGTGTCTGAATCAGAGTGCTACACATGGTACACATTCCCACCTAACCTTGCTTGTGAAATCTGCAATGCACTTGCTTTCTTGTTAAAAGAAATTGCCCTGAACATAGATATATACCAGTATGTGCTGAATTGTATTGTACAACTACCTGTATCAAGCTACTGTCTGTTGTTAGAAAGCTGTCTTATAGCTTAAATGGTCTATATACAAACAGTGGCCATGTTAAAGAGTGTCTGTTGAATGTCCTTGTGGCTCAAATCCTAGTCTTGCCCAGTTGTTTTTTTCCTTTCCTGTACATTTGTATTATCCATACAACTGCCTAACTGTGGGTGGAGAGCGCAACTCTGTATCTATGTTAACCCATTGCTTGACAACATAAAGTAATAGCTTCACTGTGCTGTTCAGTTGCTTTGCACATTTATGTGTCTACAAATGTTTAAGAAGCATGTAAAAACTCTTACGTCTGTCCGAGTGTTAATAGAGACAGTCAGTCCAAACATGTGTCCATCCGTCCGAACTTATGTGTCACTCTGTCCAAACATATGTGTCCATTCAAGCTCATATATATCTGTCTGTATATTTACAGGGGTGATCTGTTCATACTAAACAAAATCTGCAAAATTCATGTGTCTGTCTTTGTGTTATTACAGAGATGGTCTTTCCAAAATATCATTACATAATGATCACATCAAACATAATTTTTTTGTCTGTCCCAACTCAAGCGTCTGTCTTTGTGTCCTTATGGGGATGATCTGACCAAAATATCATTAAATAATGCTCAGATCAAACACAATTTGTTTTGTCTGTCCAAACTCAAGTGTCTGTTTTTGTGTCAGTACAGGGATGGTTGAAAACTCCGAAGTCATTTATCTGTCTGTCCAAATCCATGAATGAAAGTGTCTGTTTGTGTGTTATTACAGGGATGACCTACCAAAACTCACGTACCTGACAATGTGTGTTAAGGAAGGCATGAGACTTCACTCTCCAGTCCCAATCATTGTAAGGGAGATAACTGAGAGACTTGAAATAGATGGTGAAATTGTCCCGATCGGTACAATGGTCATTGCTGTTATCTACAATACCCATCACAACCCTGAAGTTTGGGAAAACTCAACGGTATATACATGTCTCCTTCCTGGTCTTTCCTTGTTGGTCTGGTGTGGCTGTTATTCAAATAGTAATTAAAAATTGATGTTGATTTTGTTTTGTGTAGTTTTAATTTTTTTTTTTTTAAATTATTCTGTCAACAAATACATATTGAATACCTGATAGTAAGTCACATCCGAAATGTGTCACATCACATCATGTTGTGTCTTATTCACTCATAACACTAAGCTAGAAGGAGGGGACATTAATGTCCAGTAGACAATCTACTTTATTATTATTATAAGAGTTTTTTTTTGTGATTATCTTAACATTTCCTATTTCTCCCTATGGTGTAAATGATGGGATTTAAATTTTTCCTTTGTCACGCATACATCTGTTAACACTCTGTCTGTACCGCTTCATCTTAGTAAAGATACAATTGAATTTATGATGAAAGATTACAGATGTTTTAATCACGAAAAGTAAATTCACAGATAGATTTTCATTGAGACCAAACAGTCTCTCATACGGTTTGTCTGTAACATAAATATCAAGGCCAGAGTAAGAGGTCAAGGTCAAAGCAAGAGGTCAAAGGTCACTCCATGTGTTTTTGTAGTACCTCCTCAGGAACCTGCACATATATGATTTGATGTCTGATTACTGTTGACGCTCCAAACATTAAAAATATGTTGTCTCATGCTGTCTCATATTTCACGCTTGTCAATCAACTTATTAGCTTGTGTGCTTATGTTGTCACTTGTCTTTCCAACGCTTTGCATGTTTTCATGTGTTTCTAATGATTTTTGTGGTTTCTTCGGAACACTAACCCGTATTTATCGATAACCATTTCTGCCTGCATTGAAACATGTCAGTGTTATAGGTGCCTACATTTGTATGTATGTACATGTAGGTTAAATTTAATTTTTAGTAAAAGCTGTCGGTATCTGTTTCAATCTAATGTATATATAAAACGTTTATTTCAAAGCTTTAATTTAGCACACTATTCATACGTACATTAAAATCATTTATTTTCATGAAGGATTTTTTTATTGATTTTGTGTTACTGTTAATCTATGAATTCGTAGGCCCACCAAGTGTTGAGATATGTAGTTTTATAGAGCTGTGTTTATCCATGAAATCAAGTGTTCATGGTAGAGTAATTTTTTTTAAAATCTCACAAAAGATTGAACCTCATGAAATGATATGACTCTACAGTGCATTTTGCTTTCATTTCATACTAACTTACACAAGGAAATTACAAATATATGATTATGTGTTTAAATTTCTCTTGTCTTTCTCATTGACGAGATTTTAAACATCAGATTAATGTCTGATATATTTTAGATTTGAATTTTGTTAAAGAAACACAGTGATTTTATAAAATTTGAAAATGACCATGCTTTGAGTTGTCCATATTTCTAACCTCTTTTACATATCACTACTGATTTTGAAGTTGAACATCCATTCCCTACTTCAGGAGTTTGATCCAGAAAGATTCACCGTAGAGAATATGGAGAAGCGTGACCCTTTTGCCTTTGTTCCTTTCTCTGCAGGTCCAAGGTAAGTCAGTTACGGGTTCCTCGGGTAAAATTGTCATTCCCAAACTGTGGATAAGTATATATGGGATTCCTTAGTTTTTGATTCAATTTGTGATTCCCCAGATGACTCATCATCTTAATTTCTTTGCCAGATTTATGAACCTGTTAATCTGCAGAGAGTCAATTAACTCTAGACTATTAACATATCAATACTGTATGTAATTACCATGGTAACACTAAGTAGTCTCTTATTTTGCAAGTAAGGAATTTATTCTTATTTTCTCATCATGAAAACTTTACAATCATGTAACAATTTACCTTGCATGGTTTTGTATGATGAGTTAAAATGAATTTAACTATAAGTTATATTTTGTTGCATAATATTTGTCAAAAACAATATTCTTTGCAAGAGTTACTGCCCTTCCCTCAGTAATGGCACTTAATTTCAGGCACTATACAAAATGAGGTTATTCTAGACCAGCCTTTTTCAACAAAGTACATGAAAGTATATTTGGAAATACATAGGGCAGGACCAGCCTTTTTCAACAAAGTACATGAAAGTATATTTGGAAATACATAGGGCATGGTGTTGTTCAATATAAATATGATTAGATTTACCAAAAGTAATGGTTGTGTTCAATATAAATATTATGAAATTAACCAAAGCCATGGTGGTGTTTACTATAAATATTATTAAATCTACCAAGGGCATGCTGTTGTTCACTCTAAATATTATTAAATTTACCAAAACCAAGGTGTTGTTCACTCTAAATATTATTGAATTTATCAAACCCATGCTGTTGTTCACTCTAAATATTATTAAATTTACCAAAACCAAGGTGTTGTTCACTCTAAATATTATTGAATTTATCAAACCCATGGTGTTGTTCACTCTAAGAATTATTAAATTTACCAAGTGCATGGTGTTGTTTACCATAAATATTATTGAATTTACCAATGCCATGGTGGTGTTCAATATAAATATTATTGAATTTACCAAAGCCATGGTGGTGTTCACTATAAATATTATTGAATTTATCAAACCCATGGTGTTGTTCACTATAAATATTATTGAATTTATCAAACCCATGGTGTTGTTCACTATAAATATTATTGAATTTATCAAACCCATGGTGTTGTTCACTATAAATATTATTGAATTTATCAAACCCATGGTGGTGTTCAATATAAATATTATTGAATTTATCAAACCCATGGTGTTGTTCACTATAAATATTATTGAATTTATCAAACCCATGGTGTTGTTCACTATAAATATTATTAAATTTACCAAAGCCAAGGTGGTGTTCAATATAAATATTATTGAATTTATCAAACCCATGGTGGTGTTCACTATAAATATTATTGAATTTACCAAAGCCATGGTGGTGTTCACTATAAATATTATTGAATTTATCAAACCCATGGTGTTGTTTTTATAAATTATCATTAGATTTACCAGGGGTATCATACCTGTCAATTCACCAAATTGGTGTAGGTCTTACCTGAAACTTTACAATTTTGTATTAGATCATCAATTTGAAGTCAATGACCTGAGTCTCATCTGCTTTTCATGAAATCTACAGTTTATAGTTCATCAATAGAAGTTCTTATAACACAACCAGTAGTTCTGTAAGAATTTCTATTCTGTATGTCATTCTACTGGTTGTGTTATAAGAATATTTCTATTCAGTATGTCATTCTACTGGTTGTGTTTTAATAATTTCTATTCTGTATGCCATGATACTGGATTTGTTATAAGAATACTTCTATTCTGTATTCTATGTGACTTAATTGTCATTGAATGTGATTTGTAAGGATTTATTCATACATAGTCCCATAAGGAATAAACAAAGATGAAACTTGTTGCTAATGTTTCATAACAATTGTGTGATTTACGCCTGGTTTTGTTATCAGCACTATGGCCTATATATGGTAACTATGATGCACACACACCAACATGAGGTTTGGAAATTGATGCAAAGTCCCTGTGCTACATATACTACAAAGTACAATCCCAAGATAAGTTGTAAAATAAAAGTGAAACATACAAAAAAACCCACACCATCAATACACAAGGACAAAGTCAATTGTAAAAACAGAAGAAAGGCTGTGTAGACCTTGAAATAACGTCCACAGCACACTTTGTTTGTATCGTGTACATATATAACACATCGTTTGCCAATTTCTTGTTCTTCATAAAACCTAACGTTTCCCTTCTTAAGTTTAAAGTGAAAGTCTGTGAAAGACTGTTTGAAAAAAGATCGGCATTATTATAGTAACAAATCTTGTATACATATTGACTCTGAATTTACAATTTATTGATATAAAATCTATTGTTTGTTACTGCTTGAAAAAAAACTATTTTGAGGTTTGTAATTTACATTTTCGTTTCATTTGAAACGTTTTTTTGTTACAGGCCAGGAAATACTTATTTTTCATTCTTTTTCTAATTATGCAATCAAGTTTTTGATTATGGAACATAAAATGCTTTTACGTTGGAATAATTATCAATTTAGTTTTTTCACTATTGAAAAAAACACATGAAATTTTTAAAAATGTTTTGTCAGAATATTGTTTTGAAATAAGAAATATAATAAATGATGCTTTTCTTGAACCTGCTGATTAAATGATAAAAAGGATATGATAAAATTATTGATAACTGTTCAAAAATGAAAATTAAAATACTATTATTTCTATGAAATTAAAAATATAATAAAAGATGAAAGGCTAGTTTTGATGGAATTATTGATAAAATGAAATAATATTATATAATTATTTGATCAGAATTGTGATAAAATACAACTAATATTTTACACAAAGTAGTCATCTGGTACATTCTACACAGACAGTACTTAACCTTACATTCATGTATTCTGGTTTTTATTGCTGATTTCGTTTAATTTATAAGTTAATGTCTTTAAATTCAAACTCAGAAAAAACCACCTGGGTGAAAAACAGATGTTTTGGATATAAAATAATTTGAAATACTAACATTGATCACTTTTTATGTCATACCAGATTGAAATGATATTTTGAATATTTGATTTCATATCATCCCTTTTGTAATACTTATTGATAAAGCAATGAAGTTATGTGAATATATCTACTGTCTTCAATGTGTTAATTAAACAAGGACAGTGAATTAGTTATATATTAAAATAATTTAACACAGAATAATCATTTCATCATTATGTAGTAATATTTTTTGCACAGCATATCTTGTTCTGTCCGATGCGAAATAATATTTATTCATGCTTTGTTTATGCATTCTTCACTTCCATTTTACATTAAAAGTAAACATTGTTATGATAGAAAAAATTAGTTAGTATATCAAAGATAAATTAAAAAGGTATAATATATAAACTTGAACCCTCTCTTGAATTTGAATTTTCAATATTATCTTTGTATGGAAACCTATTCATAAAATCAAAGATATGGATATATTTATATAAAACTTTATGTCAAACATTCAAGGAATTCAAATTTTTCAGTCAGGATGATTCTAAAAATATCAGGTATGTTATGGTAAATATGGTTTCTGGACGATGTTTTTCCGATAAACTAGTATCCAGATGATAATGAAGCAAACAAGGTTGGACATTTTTGAAGAATATATAACATATATATGGGTGACTTACCTGTACTCACTTTCTCTCCTTCATTGTCAGTCTAAAGAATGTTGTTGAAATCTTCTTACTTTCGTTAGTTCATTGCCTGTGTGTCTGCTGCAAATGTCTCTAAAATTGTTCTCCCCCCTCTATATGCTCATACAGTAACAGTCGTTGACTTCATCACAATTCCTGTTTTTTGTGTCTCATAGGTTCTGTGTTTGTGTCTCCAAAGTTCGTGTGTTTTGTTTCCCCTAGGTTACCTTTGGCTGCGTGTCCTCAATTCTTCTTTTTTTGTCACCTAGGTTCCCTTCATTTGTTTCTCCAAAGTTCGTGTTATTTGTGTCTCCTAGGTTCCTTGTGTTTGTGTCTCCTGAGTTCCGATTTTTGTATCTTCTAGGTTCCTTGTGTTTGTGTCTCCCCAGTTCCTATTTTTGTATTTCCTAGGTTCCCTGTGTTTGTGTCTCCCCAGTTCCTATTTTTGTATCTCCTAGGTTCCCTGTGTTTGTGTCTCCCCAGTTCCTATTTTTGTATTTCCTAGGTTCCCTGTGTTTGTGTCTCCCCATTTTTGTTCCTATTTTTGTATTCCTATTTTTGTATTTCCTAGGTGTCCCTGTGTTCCCTGTGTTTGTGTCTCCCCAGTTCCTATTTTTGTATTTCCTAGGTTCCCTGTGTTTGTGTCTCCCCAGTTCCTATTTTTGTATCTCCTAGGTTCCCTGTGTTTGTGTCTCCCCAGTTCCTATTTTTGTATTTCCTAGGTTCCCTGTGTTTGTGTCTCCCCAGTTCCTATTTTTGTATCTCCTAGGTTCCCTGTGTTTGTGTCTCCCCAGTTCCTATTTTTGTATTTCAGTTCCTATTTTTGTATTTTTGTATTTCCTAGGTTCCCTGTGTTTGTGTCTCCCCAGTTCCCCCCTAGGTTCCCTGTGTTTGTGTCTCCCCAGTTCCTATTTTTGTATCTCCTAGGTTCCCTGTGTTTGTGTCTCCCCAGTTCATTTTTGTATCCTAGGTTCCCTGTGTTTTTTCCCCAGTTCTATCTCCCTGTGTTTGTGTCTCCCCAGTTCTAGGTTCCCTGTGTTTGTGTCTCCCCAGTTCCTATTTTTGTATTTCCTAGGTTCCCTGTGTTTGTGTCTCCCCAGTTCCTATTTCTGTATTTTCTAGGTTCCCTGTGTTTGTGTCTCCCCAGTTCTATTTTTGTATTTCCTAGGTTCCCTGTGTTTGTGTCTCCCCAGTTCTATTTTTGTATTTCCTAGGTTCCCTGTGTTTGTGTCTCCCCAGTATTCCCTAGGTTCCCTGTGTTTGTGTCTCCCCAGTTCTATTTTTGTATTCCCTAGGTTCCCTGTGTTTGTGTCTCCCCAGTTCCTATTTTTGTATTTCCTAGGTTCCCTGTGTTTGTGTCTCCCCAGTTCCTATT